GGCGCGATAGGGCGGGCCGCGTACGGATCAGGGAATGTGCGCGACAACGCGGCGGGGAAAGGGGGTCGGGCGGGCGGCGGGAGGTAGCAGACAAGGCGGCCGTGGGCAAGGGTGGGAAAGGAGCGTGGAGGAAGGACGGGCGGCACTGACAAAGGGGTTGGCGTCAGCACACGTAAGGGGTTTGGTGGGAGGTTTGCAAACCTCTGGGCTGTCGGGGGAGCAGGAACGGCGGCACAACGGCAGGAACGGCGGCAGGGGGCGGCACCGCGGGTGACGCGGCGAGCAAAGGGTGACGCGGCGGGCAAGGGCGGGACAGGACTGGGAAGATGTTGGTATCAGCACGTGCAAGGGGCTTGGGACAGGAGGGCGCACGGACGGTCGGTAGGGCGACACTGGGGCCACTGGTAAGGTATCAGCACGTGCAAGGGGCTTGGGAGGTTTGATACCTCCCTGGCCCGATATCCCAGAGGTTTACATACCTCGTTGTAGTCTCTACTGAAGACAGACAGCCTACCAAGAGGGAATGAGGCGCTCAGGCATGCAAACCGATGTCATTTGTGCAGAGATGCTGTACCGGTACATTCATCGGAGGCTCGAGTCGATGTCATGCACCCGCGATGAAGTACGGGTGGGCGGAGGATTGGATGTAGAGGTTGTGGAGAATTTATCTGCCAGGGGCGAGCCTAACTCGCCGATAGGGATCTACTTAGGGCTGCCGCTGCAGCCAATCAACGCTAACCAACCCTTGCAGAGCCTTCTATGTCTCAATCATATCTTACGCCCGTACACTTGTTCCAGGATTGCGGGACGTCTTTGAGTGCAGACACTGCCACTTGCTGCGACGCAGCTACACCGTGGCATCGGTAGTTGGCGTCCCAGGCGTTTCGGGCAGGTCAAATTCATGACGTCACCGCGTTGCCCTCTGCTTATCAGTCCTAGTACACCCACGTTGTAGCTTAGCAGATTGATGCGGGACCGCCATGGCTACCGCGAAGATCATTTATGGGACAGCCTGGTGAGCCTCAGAATCTCTACCCGTATCGAATTATACCGATTGAAAACGCGCGTACTAGGAAGAAGGAGCGCACAACGGCACTTGTCGTGAGTGCAGTCCTCCATGGCTTCAGAGCCATCGACACAGGTAGGCAGACGTTCGCACAGATATTCAAATGTGTCTGTCTGTTCACTGAAGCAACGGAAGCGTGTCAGCCTAAGCATTACCGGTAAACCGACCTTTCGGGGAATGCATGCCGGAGTTCGCGTTCTAAACTGCGAATCATTCAGGGAAGATCTCGTCGGAGCCGCGCTGCAAATCCTCTACGACCAGCACGGCATCAAGCGCGAGGAGCTCTTCCTCCAAACAAAGTGCGTTCACGGTCATCTCCGCCCTCTCCTTCGTCAGCCTGAGTCTGAAGCCCGTCGTCTCGCGATAGGTTCACCTCCATCGACGGCCAAGACCAGAACCAGCCTCTCCCATACGACCCCTCCGCAGACATCCCTACCCAGATCCAGTCCTCCCTCCGGACCTCGCTCAAGAACCTCCGCACGACCTACCTCGATAGCCTCGTCCTGCACTCGCCCCTCCGCACGCTCTCGCAAACGCTCGCCGCCTGGCGCACGCTCGTCTCCCTCCAAGCCTCGGGCGTCGTCCGCAAAATCGGCGTGAGCAACACGTACGACGTCGCCGTGCTCGAGTCGCTCGAGCGCGACGGCGGCCGACGGCCGGACGTCGTGCAGAACCGCTGGTTCGAGGGGAACCGCTGGGATAGCGACGTCTGGGCGTACTGCGTCGAGCATGGGATACAGTATCAGTACGTCTGGCAGTCCCGTAAGGGGAGAGGGCGCGGATAGTGTTGACGATGCGGCTCTTCTGACAGATCTTTCTGGACGCTGTCTGGCTCTCCGAGCCTCCTCCGACACCCTACCGTCCGGTCGATCAGTTCCGCGAAGGGATGCACGCCCGCGCAGGCACTGTTCAAGATTGCTCAGCTGAATGGCATTACCCCGCTGTGCGGGACGACGAACGAACAGCATATGGATGAGGCTCTCGCAGTGGAGAGGCTTGACTTGAGTGACGTCCAAGCGTCCGTCGACGATGTGCTCAAGTTCATTCGAGCCTAGGTGCTCGCTATGTAATGCAGTCAGTATAATGTGTGTATGATAAGTAATACACGTCACAAGCAGTCTCCGATGCTTATCTTATCCGACTTGCACTGCTAGTGGAGAGGGAGGAAGGAGGATCAAGCCGCCTCATGAGGTCGCACCGTGAGCGTTTGAGATTTGAAGGGAACTTTATATTGAACAAGAGAGCCGTACACGCACATGCTACAGTTTTGCAGAGTGGTCGAACGCGACAGATATGTATGTATGTACCAATACGAGAAAGCAAGTAGACGGACGGACTTGGACGACGGGAGACGACACGACAAAGAGGTGCGGGGGCGCGGAGAGACCGGATCACGAATTGCGAGAGAAGTGGATGGTGCGTATGGGGTGGTGTGTCGGGCGGGAGTAGGGGTGGACGAGGCGGGCAGAACAAAACGCAACAATAAAAAATAACAGACGATCGCACCGGAAACAAAGAAACGTTCGATGGAAGGGAAACGTGGTACAACAGCTGAAGAATAAACAAACTGAAAAAACCGCGCTGTGATTCCCATTACACCGTGAACGAACGGGGTGAATTTACAGACGGAAAGATGGACCTTGCGCGGTCGCGCGACTGCTCGTGCCAAGCGTGCAAGACCCAGGATTGAAGTATCTACAAGAGAGAGGCTTACACAAAAAAGAAAGGGGTGGTAGAGATAGAGGGGAAAGGAGCGAGGGGCCGCACAACACAGGAGACGGAGTGCGCGGAAGGCACCAATACACCTCAATTGTGCGCGCGCGAGGACGACTCTGGGAAGACGGGCGGTGGGCGAGCAGGCTGAGCTTCCCGAGGCGGACGGACGCGGAACTCGGAGACGAGACACAAGTGACTATCGACACAACAACACAGCACATCATCAGCGACACGTACACGACAAGATGCCCATACAAAACGACGTACTCTGACGGGAAGTGGGCGTTGGGGAAGCCGACAACCTTGTCCAGATAGCCCTGGTCGACCTCCCCAAGGACCGAATTCACGGCGAGGTTCGCCGTCGTGTACCAGATGTAGTCGAGCGTGCCCTTGAACGTCGGCGTGTAGTTCGTCATCGACAGCTCGCCGATGCCCGCATACGCGCTCTTGAGGCCCAGACGGTGCCGCAGGCCCTCGGTCGTGTACTTGCCGTATGTGTGCGACAGGAAGTCCTCGTGGTCGGGAGGGAGGGAGCCCGTCGACAGGAACTCGTACACTCCGCTAGTTGGATTCGAATTCAAGTCGCCGCAGACGACGATAGGGATCTTGTACGCGTCCGTGTACACTGGTGGAGGGCGCGCTGACCCGTTGGTCTCGCCTATAGAAGGGTTGGTCGCCGAAGACGTGGCTGACGAGGGGGTGGGAGGAAGACGCGGAGGATACCTCGCGAAGTTCTGCGCGATCTTCTCCACCTCCTCGATGAGCAACGCGGTCTGCACGAGTTTGACGTCGCTGAACGCCGGGTCCCAGTGCAAATGCGTGTTCGCGACGATGAGCCGCGTCCCAGTCTCCTTGTTCTCGAGCAGACACACGACCGCGATATGGTCCTTGCCGAGCACGCGGTTGAACATGTCGTCCGTCTTCTTGAAGTCCGGCCGTTGCATCGCCACCGTGCTGAACTCGATGAGGTGCTTCTCCACAAGCGAGTACCTGAGATCGCTTCGGTCACCACCGACCCACCCAATAGAGAAAAAAGCACTAAGACTCACTTCGACGCCTTGTAGAATATAGCACTCCCATCAACCATCCGCCGCTCATTCTCGCTCATCATCTTATACCGCGACTTCGGCCAGTGGGCGCCCTCGTAGCCGTGCTCCGCGAGCTGCTTCGAGAAGTACTCCTCGTACTGAGCATTGTCCACCTCCTGCAGGCACAGGAAGTCCGCATTGTGCTGGAGGACCTCGGTGAGAATGAGCTCCTTCCGGTAGTCCCACTGCAGCGCCCACGAGGGCGTGTACCCGTAGAGCCGCTCCGTCGCGCACCGCTCGCAGAGGATGTTGTAGCACAGAACCGTGAACGTTTCCGCCGTCGGATCATTGGCCATGGCCTCTCGCTCCGCCTGGCCCACAAAGTGTTTCCACGCGCGGTCGGGAGGTGGTGCGGGGATGGGACACGAATCGCGGAGGTACGAGATAAGCGCGGGCGTACCGTCCTTCTGCACAATCTGCTTCAACGATGGCTCCAATGGGTTCCCCTCAATCCCAAGCGTTTGTAGTTGATGGAGCGTGCCGAGTTCCGGGGGTAAAGTCTGCAGATGGTTGTCGAATAGGTACAACTCCTTGAGCGAGGTCAACATCCCGAGCTCCGGGGGAATGCTCATGAGACCATTCCCAGATAGATCCAGGAGTTCGAGATGACGGAGCTTCGCTATCTGCGGGGGAACGGCGGAGAGGGCGTTGTGATTGAGATAGAGGTTGGTAAGAAATGTGAAGGCGAAAAGCCCGGACGTTGGAGGGATGTTCTTGATGCCCACACCTCCCATGTCCAGTGACTGCCATGTGTTGCCGGGTTTGGGAGCTATTGGACGAGGAAGCTCGGCTACGGGCGGTACGGTCGCAGACGGTTGGTTCGCTAGGGCGCTCGCAGTAATGGGGGACAAATCCGAGGCCGCCTGGGATTTGGCTGAAGGCGAAGAGGTAAAAGAAGAATCTCCATCCTTGGCAATACCATTCGTCTCCGGAGGCTTGATCGCGTTGGGATTTGTGATAGGGATCGCAGCTTTCTGAACTGTACGCGCGGCCATGGCGCTTGCTCTAGCTCGATGGTGCGGAGATCTTGATGCACGAATCATCTAAGAGAGTAGAGGAAGCTGTGAGCACGTTGCTATATGGCTACCAGAGAGAAAGACGATATGAAAATCATGTAGGTCGAACGAACTGTAGGGAGGGACCGCCACAAACACGAACAGACGAGCGGACAAGAAGGGATGCATGCTAACGATGTCATATCGTGGCAATCACACAGAAGTAGACACTTACCTCGCACTTGAGCAATTGCTGCTGCCAATGGGGAGTCATCATCTGCGTCGCCATCGTCCCTGGCGAACCATTCTGTCCCAACGCCCCGTGAGGCCCCTGCATGGCCTGGCCATTGGGAGGAGATGAAAAGTGTGGGTGAGAAAGGGAATTCTGATGATGGTGGTGGGTGAGGGGTCCAGGCATGTGTTGATGAGGATGGTGCTGCATCGCGGTCATTGTGCCGTTATGGGCGAAGAGGGGATAAGCCGGCGAGGTCGGAGGATGAGAGTTGTTCGCCGGCCCAAAGACAGGGTGTCTTGCCCATGGAGATTGATCCTGCACTTGACCGGGATGCTGGTGGGTGGGGAGCTTGTGGGCAATGCCCGGGGACTGTTGAGGGTAGTACATGGCATTGGCGGTGAGAGTCGCCACTCTGAAGACGGTCGGGGGGATAAGAAGGTGAAAAGAAGAAGAGAGAACGACTAATGAAAACAGGGAGAGAGGGAAGTCGTCTGGATGGTCGTGGACGTCGTGAAGAACAGTGAGCGTGGAATGTTTGTCAGGGACAGTCCCGACGATGACGAGCACAGCTACGACTCCTCGAGCTGACTAAGCCTCCCTTCTCCGCTCTTGTCGTTTGCGCGCCTCCCATAGACCTCTGCGGTAAACCTCCAGCGGGCGACCGATGTCGAACTGAAGCACCCTGACTGTCCTCTGGTGTATGAGTGTTCTCGCGGTTATCGAGGCTTATGTTTCTGCGGTGGCCTGAGCACCGTGCTCCGAGACATGAGTAGATTGAACGGCTAATCTCCGATCTCCCGAAAAGGCAAGTCCAAGATACAAGCCGTACGATTTCAAGATTTCGAGACATCGTACAATGCTCCCTCCCCCGTACTTAAGCCCTCGGCCTTGCTTGGTCTCTGTCTTGCACTTCTTGCATCACTCACCATGACCGTCTACCAAGCCACCGCGTCCGCACCCGTCAACATTGCCTGCATAAAGTTCGTGTCGTGACATGTCCTGATGTACCGCGATTGACCAGACACAGGTACTGGGGCAAGCGGGATACCAAACTCATTCTCCCCACCAACTCCTCGCTCTCTGTGACGCTTGATCAGGACCACCTGCGCTCTACGACTACTTCTCGCGCGGATCCCTCTTTCCAGCAGGACAGGCTCTGGTTGAACGGTACGGAGGATGAGATCAAGGAGGGCGGGCGACTCGCGACGTGCATTCGGGAGATGAAGGCACTCCGAAAACAGCTGGAGGACAAGGATTCGTCTCTTCCTAAGGTGAGCGATAATTCTGCGCGTTTCAAAACATGAACCTCGAGGACGTCAGTTTTCGCGCGGCGTCCTCTTGCGGATGCTGTAAGACCATCATGGCTCCCATGCAAGGACTGGGGCGTGGTGGAGCTTCTGGCCTCCCGCCTTCAATCCTCCCATGGGTAAACAGACGACCGCGCCTGTGTCATAGACGAGTTTCATTTGCTTTCCACGGCTACTTTGCTGGCCCTCGCGGCTAGACCGCTTGGGCGCAGACATTTACCCTCCACCCGCATCTTGTGCGATACCGATGAATCATACCTCATCCAGATCTCCGACTACCACGTCCACATCTCCTCCCGCAACAACTTCCCCACCGCCGCGGGCCTTGCCTCCTCCGCGTCAGGTTTCGCAGCCCTCGTCGCGTCCCTCGCCGCCCTTTACCAGCTCCCCACCTCCCGCTCGGACCTCTCCCGCATCGCCCGCCAGGGCTCCGGCTCGGCGTGCCGGTCCCTCTTCGGCGGATTTGTCGCCTGGCAGAAGGGCGAGCGCGCTGACGGCTCCGACTCCCTCGCGGTCGAGGTCGCCCCGCGCGAGCACTGGCCTGACATTCACGCTCTCATTTGCGTCGTCAACGACGAGAAGAAGGGCACGTCTTCCACCTCCGGCATGCAGCGCACCGTGGAGACCTCGCCCCTTTTGCAGCACCGCATCAAGCACGTCGTGCCCGAGCGCATGACCGCGATCTCGAAGGCGATCCTCGCGCGCGACTTCGATACGTTTGCGCGGATCACGATGCAGGACTCTAACCAGTTCCACGCCGTCGCGCTCGACACGGAGCCCCCCATCTTCTACATGAACGACGTGTCCCGGGCGATCATCGCGCTGATCGTCGAGTACAACCGCGTCGCGGTCGAAAAGGGCGGGAAGCTCAAGGCGGCGTACACGTACGACGCGGGCCCGAACGCGGTCATTTACGCCCCCAAGGAGAACATCAAGGAGATCGTGGAGCTCATCGTAAAGTACTTCCCGCAGGCGGAAAACTTCAAGGATCCGTTCGGGCTCTTTGGCGCGGCTGGGGTGCAGGGCAAGGTCGTGGAGGGTTTCAACGAGGCCGTTGCTAAGCCGTTCTCTGTCGGGGCGGTGAAAGGCCTAATCCATACGCGTGTCGGTGATGGCCCGAGGACGCTGGGCCCGGAGGAGGCCCTTCTGGGGCCAGAAGGCCTCCCGAAGTAGGCTCGAGGGGAGATCTGGCGATGATATAGAATTTAGCGGGCAACTGTACTATTATAGGGGATACATTGCTCCCGTGAGAGCTTCTGGCGATTGGACGTATGGATAGGACAACCGCTGAGACCGCCTTGCCTCATCACTAGGTAACAATGAGACACGAGGAAACATGGGGATCTATCTTACTTCAATATCGGGTTTTGGAGGGATGCTCAGAGGGATAACCATTACTTCTCTACGTACTGGCATGATGGACCTCGTCTGTCAGCTTCTTGACCTTACGTATAGGTAGGTAGGAAAGGGTGAGCGTGAAATACGTAGGTGGAAGGGCGCAGGTGATAGACGACACAGAGTTTGCGGTGGAGTCAGTGTGAGCATCACCAGATTCGCCAGGAGTAGTGAGAGCAGGAGTTTGCGTTGCGACCCAGATCATCGTGCGGAAGATGTGACAGAAAGCACGATCCAGCCTTGGTATAGACCATTCCTCCTTGTACACGACGCGAGAGCGCAGGACCCACTGAGGGACAAAGCCATGCAGTTGTTCCAACCGAGCAAAGGCAGCTGTCGTCCACTAGCGGCTTCGCGAACCGTAACATTACATGTTTTCGCAAGTCACGTCGATGCTGCGAGTGATCGGAGAAGCTTCGGATCCCTATGCTTCCTTTCATAGACCCTTCTCGGAGTATGTTATCGAGACAGTAGATGTTGAATTCGAAAGGGTCGTGTAGAAGGGATAGTTTATTGTGTTCCGGAATACTCTTGTCGCCGCCGATGACGACAAGGAGTAGAGGAGCAGCAACATCTGTAGGGAATAAGTGTGAAAGGACAAAATCGACGTAGTAGTACCTGGTAGGGTAAGATGTTCGGGCACTGATTCTTAATGGGAGGCTTGAAGTCGTAGCTCCTTTCTCTGTGCGGGGGATGAAGGATGTCTGAGAAGAGAGGGAGTGTGTCCATGATAACATCGAACAGATGAAGATCCCTGTGCTACACTGAGGAAAAGCTGCGAAGGTAGTGGGAAACGGTTCGTACCGGTGCGTGAAGCGGCAGCTATGCAATTATTGGACACCCTGGTGGCGAGATGTGAGCAGACGGAAAAGCGATGTCACGAAATTGCAGAACAACAATACCTCAAATAGCCGTCGAGATCATTTGATAGCTTCTCCAACAGTAGCAAACCTGACCTCGGGAGTACGCCTCAAGTACTCGTACAGTAAGACCATGCAAACCAATTTGTCGTCAAATAGCGACTGTAGGATTCGTAGTGGGGGCCGCTCGCTAGTGCTTCCCTGGCATCGCAAACATCCCATTGAACTCCGCTTCGTGAGGAAGAGTAAACTTCTTGACTCGCTTTGGAGCCGCAACGATATGACCGTCGGCAACGCGCATAGCACCCATGGTAGTAGTGCGCTCAGGGAACGCTATCATGATTCGTGATTCAGCGATAGGCATGAAAGCAACATCACCTACCAGTGGCGATTGTCCGTATTCACAATGAAGACGGGTTCTCTGTGTACCAAGCCGAACCAACTCCCAGTTCAATCTATAGCGTGGGCGTAGCATGTAACCCGGGTCAGCAAGCCATGACCGATGATTCCGCCACAAATACTCGACGTCGAAAACGCCCTAGATAGCACGTCTCTACCAACAGGATGGGGGTTTTCTCAATACCGTTTCTGCGGTATACTGAGATATTCGGGAGTGAAGCAGACAAGTGATCGACTGTGAGGCGAATATCGCGGAAGCTGTGGCGAGTGGTGCATGAGCAATTGATATGGCTGTATGAACACTCACTCTGTTTTATGCGTGTCCGACATCTCGGAGCCGGAAGGCTCGGCATTTTGTTTCTTCACGGACGCAGGGAGTCGTCACGATGACAGCCAGCTCGGCCATTTTGCCCTTCGCTGCCCTGGTTCCCCCAAAGCGTGCATCGGACCGGACACACAAGTTATATACCGGACAGCTGTTCGAATATTTGGTCCGGCGACCCTGAAACAACGTGTCCGGTGGGGGCGGGCTGTTCCCACCGCTCGCGCGCGATGGTGACACGTTGCCCCAGGTGGCATAAGCTTAAGACGTAGCGAGTCACGGCAAGCATCCGGTAGGAACCTTGCACTGTTGGACGGCGCAAAGAAAGATGCAAGTTACGTAGGCGCACACATCGCATGAGGTGAACATGTCCGGATCGCTAAGGGATGGCGGTGAATAGTTTCTCCTATCTAGATGAGACCAGATAATTCTATGAGGACCTTCATATTGGTGCAAAAAGCTTTTACCCCTTAGACACTATGGCCGAGTGGTTAAGGCGACAGATTCGAACTGTAGACTATCTGCTCCTTTAGGGGAGCGGGATTTGAACCTACACTTATCTGTTTCGCTCTGCGAGCGCAGGTTCAAATCCTGCTGGTGTCGTTTTGCCCTCACAACCATCACTCGGATCTGCTCCGGCGTCTGTCTAGGCTTGTCTTGTCTATCCATCTCATTCCAACATGCAGTGAGCTGCAGATTGACGGGCTCGCATTTTACTGGCGTATCCTCAACCTAACGTAGCTAGTCTAGCTAGCTGACTATGACGGTTGTCTGCACTACCGCACTCTACCTTGTCCATGAGAACAGACCCGTACGTGGCAGCGGCTCGTAGCCACGTGCAGGGACCCCCGTATTGTTATTTCCTCGCCGTCCATGAATGGCAACAACTGACTATGCTCTAGAATCTCGCTGTCGATGGACACAGAGGACATCGTCCCTCCATTTATTGTTATGTCACGAAGGCAAGGAGCGCGCCCGGTAGCCGGGCGGCGACGTTGGCAGTGGACCCACAGTACCATACAATCGCACAACGACCGTAGGGCTTTCGCCTTTCCAGATTAGTCCACATTCCTTATACTCCCCATCAAAGTGTAGGTCTGCAATTGTCTATTCTAACGCGCTATACTATAAGTGAGCCTTCTCTGGCTTAGCGGCAGCGCCTTGTTATGGCCTGGCGCTAACGACTTTTGTTGCGTGCGAGCGGAAGACAACGTCGTGTACTTCTCGTTTCCAAGTCACCATTGCACTACAATGTGTACAACAACGTCTGAGGAGCACCCTTAGATCTCCTGTAGAATTCAGTGCAAGCGAGAGAAGTTCTGAAGCACGATGTTTTCGCAAACGACTCGTAGCACGAGGCGTATAAAGCAGGTTGACGGGACCGTATTCTTCCCTCAGGATCCTCACGTTCATCTCACATTGACATTATTCTCCTGCTCAGCTTGTCGACAGCATGGGCTCTTACGGTCTCGACCTATCTCCGGCGCAGGCGCCTCTTAATTGCTTTGGACCCTCTCTCTCAACTAGAATATTTTCACGACTCAGACCTCGTCATACGCGGAAGACGGAGTATAACAACCGCCTCCGCGACGGGGACGCTCAGATGATGGAGGCTCGCGAGGCCTTCCAGGCGTGCCAGAGCGCCCTAGGGTACGACGTACGCGCCACTATTCAGATGAACCTTGAGGGGTCAGTACCCATGTCGTTTTACATTCTAATGACGCGAGGCTCACGTGGATTCAAGACTCCGCATTGAACGGGATAGGCTGCTCAAATTCTCCGACTATGGAGGCTCTCAGAGGACAGAGGAAGATGCTCTGTCTCGAGCGGAAGTCTTCAGAGCCAATGCTGCTCGGATCCTTGCCATGGTCACAGTGAGTATAGCGACTTGACTACGTCGTTTTACAGAATCACTCACCCCCGTGTCCAGACCGCGCGTAGAGGGGCACATTCGGCACAGAGCCCTTCACAACCAAGGGGATTGAGCACTAGCATGCACTCCCCAAGTCGCAGCCCCCACAGCGGGAGCGGGAGCGGCACCGGGAGCAGACACGCTTCCAGCGAGCACAGCCGTGCGTCGGCGAGGAGCCATCACCCTCCCCTGCCAAGGACTTCTCCATATGCTGAAGAGCCTCTTCAGATGTGTACGTCCCCCAAGTCTGCCATAGCTGCTTCCAGAGCACTAATGTCGACTCCCATACAGTGCAAACCCGCGCCGGCCCCGTCGTCTGGCATCCTAGTCCTCCCGCTCCTGAGGGGAACACGCTCTGGCTCCATGATCTTGACATTCGCGGCTCTCCCCGTGCTTCGTTCAAGAACGGGGATCTGCATGGCACACCCGCAAGCAGCATCCCCAGCCTGCACGGCACACCCAGAGGCAGCATCCCCAGCCTCAACATGGCCATCGTCGGCCTGTCATCCACGCGGGCCTCCCCGACATCGTTGAAAGGTTCCCCCGCCGACTCCATCGGTGCGTACTCGCTCGGGTCCGATGGCTTCCCCCGCCCGAGCCGCCGTGCGCCCCAGCGTCGGGGCACGATTCAGTCCACGACTAGCCTCCCACGGTCGCAGGCCGCCGCATCGCGCCAGGGCACGCACTCGAGCCACGGGTCGCCCGCGCACGGGGCGTTGTCGTCGCGCCAGTCGTCGGTGCAGACGTCCCGCAGTGGAACGACGCACTCACACTCGAGCCCTGGCCATGCCCTCCCCCGTCCTAGCCTCGACAGTGGCAAACGCTCCGGGAGCTACCAGTCGACTCGCTCAGACGAACGTCGTAGCCGGGGTGCCTACGCACGAGGACCATCGTCACTCAGGACGTCGTCTGTTCCCCCTGAAAACAGGTCTCCTTATGGAGTCCCATATGTCACCGACTCCCCCGGACGATACCACCACTAAATCGTTTCCGGAAGTGCTCGCCCGTCCGCCTTCAGATGAGGTCCAAGTCTCATAATGTCTATAACGTTCACGAAGCTTGAAAAACACAACCCAAACCCACAAGACAAGAACTCACATTCGAAACGGCCCCCAGCAACGACCTGTACGCTTTTCACGTTTTCGGACCAGTGTATCAACTAGACGCTCCGGTATGCTCGAGCACGATACCTGTGACGATGTATTATACGACTGTATATGACTGTACGACTGTCTCATAGCAACCAGCAGATATATCGGAAAAAATACATCTTTATCACCTCACCTTCTCCTAAATATACGTCTGCCCCACGACAAGACGTCATCCGCGAAGTTGCTCGTCATGGTTCGCGCCTCATCTACGAGGCCGTCAAAGTCCTCCCCAGACCAGGGGGAATACTGGACCTGGTGCTGCTCAAGCATCGTGAATCGCAGAACGTCCTTAACGGTCAGGAGTCCGACGAGGGCGCCGTGGCCCTCGACAAGGATAATACGTGGCCTGAGAAGGACGATCAATATAGCACGGCTGCAGAGGATGAGCATATCGCTCACCCCATGCGTTTGAACAACTGCATCGCAATTTCGAGCGGCAGCTGTGGGGATACTGTGAGTGGTGTTTGGTTGACCCACGGCCACAACTTGAGTACGTCCTGCGTCGCTGTGCTCTCCATGATTCCCAAGGAGGTCTCCTCATCTAGGCCTACAGCAGGCGCAGCAGCGACACCTGCGAACTCGGCTTCCTCGAGGTCTTCAGCGTTGGGGGCAAAGGAGACGGGAGTGTCTGGTCGGACATCCTGCAAGTTCTGCGCTTTCTCTGTCGAGGCTGTCAAGGAACGCGTCAAGCACGCGATTCGGTGTGCTTTACGCACCGAGAATGTATCGTAATTGAGTACGGTCTATGAATCCCATGAGGATGTTCTTGCTATCTGCTGAGACGATAGGAAAGCCCTTCACATTTGTTCTGGAAAGGACTTCCTCTGGTCAAAAGGCAAGCGCATTAGCCCTAGGCCAGTTTTGGCAGGAAAAAGAACAGACCCAAGTCTTTGCATGTAAGCCCAGACACGGGTAAGGTCTTAAGGTCTCGCCTCATTACTCTGGAGACGGGCACGTTGTATGCGTGATCGTCTTTCTCAAGGAATGGATATCCATTGAAGCGGATCATCTCATCTGCAATTCCGGTGGTGCCGAGGAAGTCGCCCACAGCTTTCGTGACGAGCAGGACGATCTGTGGCGGATGGGCGGTTAGTCTTGATACAGTGTTGATGAGCACAGGGGCGCAAAGCGTACCATCGTTGGCAGGATATACGTCAGAGCACCAGTCAGCTCGAACATGATGACGACGACGGTGACGGTGAGCCTCATCACCCCACTCAGCGCAGCAGCGGCGCCCAGGAGCGCGTAGGTCCCAGGCGTGATACAGGGCACGTCGGGCTGGCACACGGCAAATATGCCAGAATTTGGATAGGCGCTAAGGAGATGTAAGACACTGAACAGTGGGTGCGTTACTAGGTCAGGCAAGTCATACCGGTTGACAGCTTTGACCATGATCCCGACCATCCTCCCGAACGTCGCGCCGATAGCCATCGACGGCACGAAGATCCCCGCAGGCACCTTGCACCCGTACGAAATCACGACAAGCCCCAAGCGCACGACGGTGGCGAGGAAGAGCGAGTTGGCCATCTGCCACTGGTACGCGGTCTGGCAAAGGTGGTCGTAGTCGCTCGCGCCATCGCACTCGCGGAACAAGATGGCCATGCTTTCGGTCATGTCGATGCGCATGAAGTGGTTGAACCAGCCGATCATCGCCGTGATCGTCGCGAGCGTGACCGCCTCGGCGATGGCGTGGTTCTTGAGGTAGCGCTTACGGAACGCGGCCACTTGGAGGTTGAACTTGACGATGAAGGCGCCGTAGAGACCCTGTGTGGAGTCGTTAACATAAGCTCGCGATATGCAGGATTGAAACGCGCACCCCAAAGATGCCGAGGATGATGAAAAACATAATCTCGAAGAAGTGCCAATCCCTGTCGTAAGTGACCTGGAACAGTACAAGCTTTCCGCTGCGGTACGGGTTCATCGCCGAAAGCGTGACAGTCGCCACTAAGGCGCAGAAGAAACTTCGCCACATGGTTTTGATGCTGAAAACGCTACTCATTTCCTGAATGATGCATGTTTTCGTAAGCCATTCAGCCAGAAAGCATAATAACAGCATTACCTCTATGGAGAAAAGCACCCCTCCGATGGGGGATCCGAAAGCAACAGCAACACCGGCAGCGCTGGAAGCAGTCAAGATCTCGCGCATCTTCACTGACGAGTAAATGTGAGCGACAGATTTACGAAGGCAGATGTAGGACACATACCTTGACTTCTCGAGAAGTCTTTGAACATGCTCGCAATGATGTTCCCTACACAGCAGGCAACATGCACCGACGGGCCCTCCTTGCCGACTGAAAGACCCGAGGCAATGACAAGGGGCTGTATGGTGTTTCACAGGCCGTTCTCAGATATTCAGAGATCAAGACACGCACCAACGTTATACTCTTGATGAAAAATGTCCAGAAGCCCAGGAAGCCCTTCATGACAAACCCAGCGATGATGCACTTGATCTCCGATATACCAGAGCCCGCAGCGTACTTCGCCAACGACTTCACTAGGTGCGCTGCAATGAACGAGAACGCGGCCTACGGTCATACTACCCATGAACGCTCCGTCCTCTTCCAGACATGAATTGTTACGTACCGCAAACAAGACGTATATTGCCCACCGCGCAGGCATCACTTCACTCCACTGATGCCATGCCTCGCAAGTATCCTCGTCTGTTCCTTCAATTTCCCAACAACAGAACTGCTGGTTTAGCCACCAGCCGTCCGAGCAGTAGCCCATCTTGATGTCCGACAGCCATTCGGTTGCTATTGAGATGACGGCGGCATTGACGCCGATGGCAATTCCTGCAAAGTTGCAGGGACTACATCAGATACATCCTTGACGTCCGCGGGCGGTGGGAAATGGGAGTACGCGCGAGATCTTGCAATGCTTGGGGGATGCGTACGCAGATGCACAGGGACTCACCAACCAAGCTGACCACAAACCAACTTTGCCCAGCATGCGCCAAAGTCTGCAGCTGCGACCATATCCAAGCAAGGCTAACTTCTCCGCGAGGTCCTCGGTACGGTGTATTCCGGCTGCGGGCAGCTCGCAGTCGCCTGTTGCGCTCGATTATTGAGTCCTGTATCCAGTCTATACGCTGACATTCAGCGGGTTGAACCCCCTGCGTGCTCGCAGTGTCGCTGACCTATAGTAGTGAAGTCCTCGTAGCGTCTGATGTCACGGTCAGAGCCCCCCTCATTCCGGGTGGTGATAGGATGCACGCACTGGACCTGCTCCAACTCCTCTATTTCATGATGTGGTGGCCTGATGTCATGAAACGACGCTCTGCGTTCTCGCGACATGAGAGCCGTCTGGTAGCATGTATTGGATCCCTAGGTGTAGGTGCGCAGTGGGGAAGGTGCACTGACGTGGAAATGGATGAGAAGCAAGCAACGCAGCGTTAAGCACAACAGGCTTCAGCGCTATACGCCGACTGGGTCGTCCGGACGTCCCGAATAAGTCGGAAAGCGGCGCATTAAGCACGCACAATTCACCGGTAAACTCTTCACTCGAGGATCACGCAACAAGATTGGGACCGACCGTTATTCCCAGACTTTAATCATAGGACAGGAGAGCAGACCGCTCGTGTTGAGAACCCAAACAAGATACATAGTATTTCTTGTCCCGCCGCCTCACCGCCGCTTCGCCTCGCTCGTTCGTCCTTCCTCAGCCTGGTTACGTCGGGTCTCCTAGCAAAACCCACGTGAGTCCTGAGCCTTGTGATCGTGTCCCATTAGCGAGTATAGCCCGCCAACGAGATTGGCGGCACAGGGGCGTCAGACGTGGTGCTCATACACCACAGTTGTAGCTTCTTCCTCCCGGTATCACAGAAGTTAGGCCACAGTAACCAATTTGAGATCATAGGGATCTTGGACACAGGCCAGTATGTCATTTTGAGTATACAAACCGGTACACAGTTACGGAGGCGGTCGCTATCATACAACCGCTCCCTAGCTAACCAAATAAACATAACCTATGGAACGTTTATCCTGGAGTCAGCTAACGATTAGGGTCCACGCTCCATGCTGCGCACCCGATTCGCATGCGTTTGATCTGGCCGGCGTCCAAGAATCCAAGAAGCGCACATCACTCTATGCTTCATTGTAGTTATAGTTGGTCTTGTAGTCGTGGCTGTCATCATTATATTGTGCCCACCACCAAGATTGGCGGTAGCTTCTATGGAGCGTCGCATCGTATGCTTGTTTCTTCTCCTCGTCAGACAAGATCTCATACGCGCTGGACAATTGCTTGAACTTTTCTTCAATGCCGCCCTGTGTCGTGGGCGAACAACCACCGGTGAGATGTGTATCAGAATCACTGCAAGATGAAGAATTGAACATACTTTATCAGGATGGTGTTTGAGTGACAACATTCGGTATGCCTTTTTGATCTCGCTCGCAGTGCAAGAACTGGTCAAACCTGAAGAAGCAGATTGTCTGGAAACCGTACTCCATGAGGGCAACGGGGGCACTCACCGAGAACGGCGTAATGATCCTGTTGAGTGCTTTCCTTCTCTTCCGCCTGCCTTACAGCGTCCTCGAGTTCCGCCTCAATATCACATCTCTCCTCAGCACTCAACGTCGCTTCTCCATGCTCTAGCGAGGCGCGGAAGTCCACCGCAGCTGTTTCGAATAGTTCGAGACCAATCATGATGCGAGCCCTACAAAGAAATGCCTTGGAGTACGTCGGGTGTAGTTTCAGTGATTCCTGCACGTCCTTGAGGCCCTCGGAGGATTTACCCAGCTGAGAGCGAACATTAACGGAAGCAATGCAAGGTTTACAAGTCCTTGCTCTCACCTTGCACAAGGCTTCAGCTCTGTTCAGCAGCAGTACAGCGCGAAGGATACCCCCACGACCTTCCTCTTCTCGTTCTCCAGCGACCTATGGCACCATTATGATCATCTATCTCTCTGCGTCCCAATCAACTCACCAGCAATGCATTAGTCCACGAATTGATGACTGTCTCGTAGTCGCTCTGCCGGAGAGCCTTCTCTCCACTCTCCGTCTGCCGTGCTACGTCTTTCACGCGGTTCCACAATGCCTTGGCCTTCTGATTGTCAGGGTCGAGTTTCAAGACCGTAACCACCTGTGTCAGCGCCGCAGACGACTCCGCCTTCAAGAACAATACTAGTGCGCGGAGTGTCATCACCTCGATGTCATTGGGTGTGTTGTGCAGCAAAACGCTATTAAGTCAATGCATGTCAGCTGCTTCGAAGTAAAAGCGCCCAGCCAGAGGTAGAAGAGGGAACCCTTACTCCACAGACTTCGTCGCCTCATCCCATTTGCCCTCCGCGATCAGCAGCTCAACACCCCAGCATTGGACGTATTCAGGGGCGTCGCTGTCTTGCTGCGCATACACAGATAAGCATGACTCGTACTCGTTCCTCGCCGACCGCCAATGCTTCCGAGCCATGGCTTTCTTGTATGCATCCATATGGCCCTCTAGTTCCGTCACACGGCGCCTCATCTGTAACGCATCAGCATTGCTAGCATCAAGGGATAAGGCATCCCGCAGGGCGAGGAGTGCCGAGGATGGAGATCCTAGGATAAGACGACAGCGGGCAATGCGGAGATGGTTGATTGTGCTGGGCTCGTACGTCGTCTTTGTCGATGCAACCTCGAAGTCTCGTAGGGCCGCAGCGAAATGACACAGTTCCATGTGGGTAGCGGCACGCGTAACGTAGTAAGATGCGTTCCCTGGAGCGAGGGCTGTAGGATCATAGAGTCAGTGTGAGCAGACACAGGCTGTGGGGTTCCCCATACCAATAGCTTCCGTAAGCAATGCCAAAGCATCGTCATATCTCTCCTCTGCAAATGCTTCATTCGCCGAGAACCAAAGTTGCTCTGGTTTATCGCGTTTGACTTGCTCCGCCCGAGTACTTCATCAAAAAATCGTCAGCAGACATTTTATGGTGTTTGCATCACGGGAAGATGCTGTACCGTTCATCAGGCTTCCTTTTTGGGGTGCTCGAGGGGCCTGCTTCATAGAAGGCGAATGGTGGTTCTTCTGAGCTGTGCATGGAGTCTCCCCGTCCACTGTTCTTGTCTTGAAAGATGAAACATGACCTAGAGAATCAAGAAATTATGAGTATGCAGTATAGGTATTCTCCATCCGGCCTACCCCGAGCTGTGCTCATGGCTACCACACAGAACACATCTTGACGTTGAAGCGGTCGGCCGTCGTGCTTCGGTTTCTGCTGGGCCGTCAGCGGACCGTCCAGAGAAGCGAGGGCTATACTTACTTTGAGGTGGGCAGGCCTTGAACTCGTGCCCTGACCCGCCACAATTCTGCAGAGCTTTTGAGAGAGCATAAGGAAGTAGGAAGGAACAGACATACAGGACATGGTATTCCGGGACACTGCCAGCGCATATGACCTTTCTCCCAACACAACGTGCAGGTCTTCTTTCTTCGGGCGCGTTTACTACGCTTCGCAGAGGGGGGCGGTTTCGTCTGTTTCTCCGACTTTGATGAACAACGTCAACCCTGGCTAATCGCGTATGTGTACACTTAGCACGTACCGGTCTTTTTAGAGTCGGACAGTCAAGCGCGACGTGCCCAGGACGATCACAGCGCTCACAACGCATCTCACTGTAACCCTTGGGCTCGGTACATTCCCAGTGTTCGTGTCCCGACTTGAAGCAATTTTTGCACCTCCGGCTCTGCACATTGTTGTCAGGATGGCGGACCGAGTGGACAAATGACGGCGACGTACCTCGCGCTCAGTGCATAGCCGACTAGGGTGGCCCCTTTGACCGCACTTGCCGCAAGTTTTGTTTAAGTAGCAACTCCTCGAATCGTGACCAGAGCCCCAGCAGACAAAACAGATGTGATCTTCAAGGGTGCACTCTGCAGTCGAATGATTCGCTGGGGGAATACAAAGTCAGCATGTGTGGGGGACACTACAGAGATCCGAACTGCGTACTGCTGTCGCATTGGTCACAGCGCGTGAAGGTCCGGGGCATTCTGCAGCGGTAGCCAGTTTAGGAACGACGGGTGGGAGGGTCAACCGTGTTGTTCAAACGAACCGGGAGCGACGGCTATGTGGGCGTCATCCAAACGTGTTGCTGCGGTAGTTTCTGAGCCCGGTACGGCGATTACCTTGTTTGATTTTCGGCAGCACCAGTTCCCTGATCGCGTCCGAGTTCATGCATTCATGCTCCAGCTCGTCTCGTGGGCGCACTGGGAGAGTAGCTACCGGGAGAGACGTAGCCTTGAGTGATAGTGCTCCGAGCTCAGTTTGCTGGGCAGAAGCGAAAATGCTTCGTCTAGAGACGAGTAGTCGCTCAACCCCATTCCCGCAAGTTCACGCATTGTACACGGATCGGCGTCGAAACCCATAGCATATGCAAGGATCTGTCATGATTAATAGAGTTGCGCCTTGCAAGAAGTGGGGCCTCGTAATGGCACTCCCTATTACACTAGCAGGATCGCAAGATCGCACGGAAGCGTAAGGCGGGAAGGTTCACATAGCTGCCTGAGTGGTCGGAAGTACTTCCGACGACCCAGGCAGCATGCCCATTCGGAAGCCTCACACCTACATTGCACAAAGCGGGGTATTACTAGAACTGCGTACATAGGAATTACCGTGCTCAGTGTACAAATGGTGATGCAATCGCAGAAGGAGCAGCAGCAGCAGCAAACTCGCCGGCCTGGGCAATCATGAGGAGCCCAACTGCACTCCAGATTAGCATACAATCCTTCGAGAAGTGACGGAGCACATACCAATAAGACCAAAGAGACCCATGATACTGCCAAAGACTTCCACAATGAGGATCTTCACGAAGAGATCGGGGTCCGCAGCGTCTGCTAGAGCAGCGGTGGAACCCGCGATACCGACGGAGACACCGCACAACAAGTTGCACGCGCCGACTGTGAGACCTCCCCAGAACAGCGCGTATCCTGGGGGACACACGTTAAGAGGCCCGTAAACGCTATGTCCTGATTGTGCGGCACGCACCTGTGAAGTAATTTTCACGCGTGTAGAGGAGCGTGTCTTGAACAGCTGTGACGCGAGCAGAATAGACGATGCCAATGATCTAGCTTGACGGTCAGAATCGGAACCGAAGAGCAGAAAGGCATACTCACTACACCGTAGATAGCCACGACCTCGCAGAATATAATACTACAACATGTTGGCAGAAGCACTAGACATGTAATATAGCAACAAACCTGATCAAGTTCTTTGTCCTGATACGAGGCGCACGTACACCTCCACCGAGGATTGAAGCACCGGTGATGAAGATACCCCTACCGAAAGACAAGGAGGTAAGCATGCCACTACGAGCGAAGCCGTGAACACGCACCATCCCGCGCCCAGCACACTCAACCCTATGCACAAGCCGATGCCGGTGGATGCCCAAGCATACGGGCTCGTCTCCTCAAGGAACTGGCCAACGTTGAATGCCTCCCCAGAACCTAGACCAGCCCATCCACCAATTAGCGTCATTCGAGCCCAAATGCGGGTTGCACCGGAGGGCTGACTTGCCAGTAAACAGCAGATAGAGTGCGACAACTAAAGCAACGAAGGTAGGTAGTCCATAGGTGTAGTAGGATGAATACAAGCCCATCGTGGCGGGCTGGTACTGAATGCGCGGCTCGACGTTGACTGTGACGACCAACTCAGCCCCGACACCGTTATTTGACTGTATTTGTTCACAGGCGCCGGCACGTCATACAGGCGCTTGCGATCCCTCTCCGGCGCGCTGCTTGACTGCTCGGTCTTCGCCATGTATCATCTGCTGAAGGGGTTTCACGAATATCTTACGAGGTATGCACTTGCGTCATTCTATTGCAGCTATCTCCTCATTTTTCAGGAAGGAAGAGTTTTCGGTCATCATCCTCGGGCTGGACGGGGCGGGAAAGACGGTTAGTGTATCCCACTGTTCTGGCGTGTTCAATCTATACTCGCGCGCAGACGTTACTTGAGAAGATCAAGACACTATACAATGACACCCCCGGTTTGTCCCCAGACAAGATCGCACCCACAGTAGGACAAAACAGTGTGTATCCTGAATGAACCTTTCTGGACACTCCCCTGATTCATTCATGTCTCGTACAGTGGGCAAAATTACTCTCCCGTCAACGATCCTGAAATTCTGGGACTTGGGAGGACAGCGCGGAATACGCTCTATTTGGCATCGCTACTACGATGACTGCCATGCCGTCGTGTTCGTGATTGATGCAGAGGACCGCGAACGCCTGAGTGAAGGCTGGGAAGTGTTTGGTATGTGAGCGTATCCTTCCATCTGCTCTCCACATACTGATAGCGGGAGAGGAACTTAGACTCCGTCCTTTCCGCGCCTCAGATCCTTGGTGTTCCCCTTCTACTGCTTGCGAACAAGCAGGACAGTCCGCAAAGCTTGTCCGTCGAAGAGATCCGCAATGACTACGAGGAATGGCATAGGCGAAAGGCGGAGAGCGCGCGGAGGAGTTTTGGAGAGGAGATAGACTCGCAGCATCGCTCGGAGCGGATCGCGAGCTTGGACGTAATGGGCGTGTCTGCGCTTGAAGGGTGCGTCGGTTGGCATATGCGCTGACAGTATTATCTGAATGTATGTTCGTTCATAGGACTGGTGTTCGGGCAGCGATTGACTGGCTCTTCATTCGCGTGCAGAACAGTCGGCGTAGGTTAGTGTCCCGGCTATCCGACTTGTAGTAGAGCTAACTTCTCTCATCAGGGACGAGTCATGATACGACTTGCGTATCTCAGCGGATATTGTCGCCGCTTGTTCGGTTTGAATATGTTTGTAGTGATGCCTCACCATGATATTCCTTCGACTCAGACTGTTGATAGGGTAGGGCCTTCTGGGCGGTCCTGGCCGCGGTAATGTGAGGTCCTGTTCTGCATCAGCGTCCAGAGACGAGTAAAATCCCTGAGCTCATCGGCCGGGCCCGGGCCCGCCCTCAACGCGTCACCACGTGTACTACAAATGAGATCGCGAAGACTTGCTGCCACCTTCAACACAGGCTGCTTCTAGAAATATACCGCTCGAATTCCAAGAGCAGGAGCCATAGTGAGCGAGCAAGTAACAGCCCAAATCAGGATCCAACGCACGTACACAAATCTCGCACGCACTGCCACTAGTGCTGTCAACGGAGCATTCGAGTGTGAAAGTGGACCAATACCGGTGCGTAGGATCAAATATATGTGCACTCCATCAATCGTGATTGATGAAAATGCTGAAGAGCACAACGCCACTCAAGGATGCGGGACGTATCGAAGAAGCAAACAAACATTTGTGCCTCCCTGAATTGGGGGTCCCTGCTCTCAATGTCCTGTATCAATTTCTCCTCATGCTTTGAATGCGCATGCTCAGACATCCCCAGGACTCGCGAGCGACTGTGGCATAACTCTGTTCCCTGTTCTTTGGCCGGGCGTGGCTCGGCTCGGCTCGGCCAAGCTCTCAGGCGCTGCTTATCACGCCTCGCCTCGGGTCAAGCCGCCATAACCTCGTCTAAGTTGTTCCAGTACTTGATCTCCTCCGAATCTACAAATCCCACACTGTAGGCCAGTTCGAATTACGCGCTCTTTTCCAACCCCTCGTTCCACGACTCGTATTTCTCCGTATCTGCCAATAGCGTCGCAGTCTTCTTTCTCACTAAATCCACTGCATCCTTGCCAAGTGGGAAGTGGAGAGGGGGATCCTCCAGGGTCGCGAGCTTGTACACGACCTCCATCCCCTTCCGCGGATCGCCTTGGGGCCGTAACTCCTTCAAGATGCTCCTAAAGAAATTTCCGGGAAGCTCCTTCTTACTGTATGCGGGATGAGCGGGTGCCCACGCTGTCTTCCCGATGCCTGGAGTGTCGAAACCTCCTGGCTCGATGATCGTTATCTATCATCACCGATGACAAGTTAAGTCCCAGTCACCACAGACGCATTCGCGTACAAATCTTACCTTGATGTTCCATGCGGGATCGATTTCGCTCGCGAGCCCTTCGCTAAATCCCTCCAATGCTAGCAATGAAGCATGTAAAGCCGTCAGCGCCACTGGATTCGCAACAGTGCAATGATGTGATGAGGACATACCGAACTTGCTCGCTGAATAGTACGCCATTGCTCCAAAGCCTTGCAATCCTCCGGCAGAACCCACCTGGAGAAGCCTTCCGCCTACTCCCGCTGGGTTGACCTCGCGGAAGAACTTCACGGCCTCGCGCGAGACGTTCGCTGCTGCCCAAAAGTTGATCTCCATCACGTCGCGCGCATCTGCATCATCTATGGCCTCGACTTCTCCAAACGCGCCTCGTCCAGCATTATTCGCGACGACGTCAATGCGGCCGAACTTCTCCTTAGCGGCATTGAAGACGTCGACAATCTCTTGCGGTCTGCTGACGTCCAGTTTGAGGGTCAAGAGACGACTGGCGGGATACTTGGCGATGAGGTCGGACAAGGTTTCGGGACGGCGGGCGGTCGCAATCGCAGTGTCGCCGTTCTCAAGGACGATCTCGGTGAGTGCGCGACCAAGGCCGGTGGACGCGCCAGTGACTGTGAATCATGTCAAGACAACGTTCAGTGTCGAAGATGTACTGCAAAACATACTGAGCCAGATAGTCATTGTGTGGTCTGAGCTGTCGATGGTATGTTGTTGAGTATGCCTATCCTGCTCCCCGCGGCCTACGTCGTATTTATACGTATACCCTACCACACCCAGCGACCAGCTCTTTTTTTTGGTTGGCGACCTGGTCCATTCCGCGTTCGCCTTCAATACTGCCGCCTCCTGACGTTGTGGCGAATCGGCGAAACCAATGCGTAAGCCCTTACCGGAGTTACCGGGATATACGTGTTTCAGCAGGACTCCACAGGTTCCTTGACGCTTCCCGCAGCTTGCATAGACGACTTTACCTTGAGCCTAAATCCCGGTTCGAATGGGTAAGCATTCCGTCACAGCATCCAGATGCATCAGCATGAAACTCACCCGAGCAAGATTGCGTGGCCCCCCCTGCCGGCGTCGGAACCACCTTCAGTTTCAAGAGGCTCAAATAGGCCTGACTGACCTAATGCGTGCAATGGTAGCTGCTGCGACTTGGCATCTTGAACCTAAGTACGATATGACTCGTCCATGTCCCGTAGCGCCGCGATTGGGACTCGCTGTGCTTGTCTTCACGGGTAACTCCGCTGCCGCTTTCATCTCACGCGCTTTACTCGTGGTCGGGTAAACATGTAGCCGGGCGTTACCGTTGTCTTTCAATGGTTTCACGGAACAGTACGGCGTTCAACCATAGGAAGACCTTCGAATATACTGATGGTACTTAGTCAGTGTCTGTGACGATCGCACTGAGGCTGTCGTCGTTCAATGATGACTACATAGTAAGCGGTAGCCTACCTTGAGATGCCACAGGTGCTCCACATGTGATTCTCAAGGTCCCATTGACGGGATGTTCGACGGAAATCGCGTAATGTGGGATCACGACTCCCTTCGTGCGAGACCGGGACCCCTAAGGCTGACACGAGCTCAAAGCTTCTCTAACTTTCAGGACCGATTTCGTGGCAAAAGCTTTCACGACCAACGCGCCTATGGATATTGGAAGAGACAGAACGTCAGTTTTCCAGTATGGTTACACCGTGAACTACTCCACTGGTTTCAAATCGCCTGCGAAAGGACTCTATTGGCTCACCTAGTTCGTAGTTCATTTCCCCAAAAACGTCAGCTTCGAGCCCGTCACTCAATCTGGAAAGCCACAATCTATGTCAGCCCTGGAGTTCAGGACACCATGATTTCCCACGGAGAATGACCAGGATTCTGACAATGCACTGATATCGCTCTCCAAGCTCAAGGGTGCGCATGATCGTCACGTCTACTTCGTACCGACAGTACTAAATTTACCAGCTGGCTCACGGAACACGCCGCTAGCGGGCTCCGTGTGGACGAGGTGAGTATACTGAAACACTCACAGTGAAGTTATTATGGCAAGCCTGGCCGATGCTCGTGCCACAAATATTGAACCTTGCGTGATTACTCGGGGAGCGCTTTTTCTGACACGCTGCTATATCGACCGTGAGAGGAGTACGTCATCCGCGAAATTGAGTTTGATCCTTCTGGCGCTGCCTCTTTCCCTCTCTGTAGCATCGTTCCAGTATGTCGCGCAACAACAGAACCTCTACACGCTGTCTCAAGTGTGGCAGCTGTAAGTTACTGATATTTGTGATGTTGTCGGATAGCTATGCTCATACCGTTCATAGTCGAACACTTGCCTTCGGAGTGCACCCTTGTACACCGTGTGTGCTTCCAATGTCGCGAGCCTGGCCACGAGTCGAAGGCCTGCCCCAAGCGTTTTCAGGACCGAACCTGTGGAGGATGTGGCCAAAAAGGTCATATCAGCAACGTTTGCACCAGCCGCGAGGTATGTCGTTGTGAAGGCCCCCAATATTGCTCGGTGGATGTTGACACAACGCAGAGCTGGATATGCAAGAACTGCGAAGAGTCGGGACACGGACACTGGGAATGTACCAAGCCCAAGGGATACCGTCGTTTGCGCTGCCAATGGTGCCTTCGCCTGGGGCATACGCTTTTCGAATGTGTGAACGAACCAGTACTGGTGCGTAGGACTGGTTGTGTGTGCACCCCATCAGTCGCGACTGATGTGAACGATGGAAACCACCACGCCATGAAGTCCTTAAAGGAGTCGAACCAATTATCCGCGTCGATTCATGCTACTGACCCGGGGGGAGCGCGTTCTCAGTGTCCCGTACGTTTTCGCCTAAGTTCCTCCCGTACGCTTATACTGGCATGCACCTCAGAGTTGTGAAAGACAATGGCACGGCTCTGCCCCTTGTTCAGTGGAAGATATGCCTGTAGAGGGGTCGGAGCCCATCACTCAGTCCAAAAAGCCCCAAGCTGCAAAGCCGGAGATCGAAGACGAAGAATTAGAGAATGCCCTAACTTCGCTCTCTACACTTACTCGTGAGCATCATATTCAATGGGTGCATCGCAGCACCTCACGCTCATGACGTACCAGTATCCAATCCACGAGCTGGCTTACCCAACGCATCCCTACCCGGTATCGTGCGGGCGAGGTGTGTTCAATCGCTTACAGGGGGATACTGATTTCAATCTGACCGACCCTCGTCCATGGCCAAAATATGCGTAGACAAGGAGTGAGAACAGACAGTTCCGACGTACAATACCAATATATGTCTTACATAGGGCAGAGACGCCAAATCTTGTGGCCCATCGCCGCGCGACTTGAGTCTCTGTTCCAGAAGTAGTCATTCGTATACTCAGAACCGTACCCTCCTTATGTCGAATTATTGTGTGTTCAACGACGAATTCACCGACGACGTGAGGCTTCACGTAGCTTAGCGACCATCCGAGTTCCCTTCCATCACGGCGGTAGCAGCCAAGGAATGACAATGCGGATTCGCGCTGGTACATCGCCAGAGGAGCGTGCAGCATTCCAACCAAGTTTGCAGCCGGGCAGTACTGTCCATACATCGCGTTGGCATGCCTGTCGTTCTGGCAGGTCCTGTCAGCGCAGGATCCTTTGCGCGGTGATCAAGCAAATGCTGTGCCGTTCAATGAGCTTCCTCAACGACTGTCTTCTAGTGCGCCTATCGCGGAGGTCAGAAGTCAGATGGCGTTCCACACAAGGAGGTGGAAACTCTACCACCTCGTAGGCGACGGTTCTCATCGCCCGCGCGGAAGACACGGCGTTTTGTCAGCCAGGACCCAGCAGTCACCGAGCACCACCATAACCTTTGCCCACCGCCTCGCGCGATATCCAGGTCATGCTCTAGCGTCAGCGGGAGCAGAGTGTACCGATGTCTTCTTCTCCGTCACGCACTCTGAGGCCAAGGAAGACTCTTCCCCGCCTATGCCGGTTTCTTCGAATACCACTGGGCTCGAGGCTTCAGCGGCGATTAACCACGCTCTATCCGTTCACGTATACAACCTCCAGCCCCGTCCCGCGCCCCGCGGGGCGCGGAGACGAGCCCTCTTGTGCCATGGGACACCACTTGCAGTAGTATCCCCTCGGGCAAGCGTGGTGAACAGCGGAACGGTGGTCAGGAATGCGGCATAAGCAATCCTCCGATGTTGTCAGCCATCATCATATCGATAACTTGTGCTGGGGGAGCAGCACAGTACTTCGCAACACACGGGCTGCTCTCCCTAACGAAGGCTGCCGGTACGGACGTGGTGTCCTCGCACGCGTCCCGCAGCACCACAAGTGTAGCGAAACTGAGTGCCGCGACGGACCTGCTATGTTCGCCGGCATGGCCACACACGCGCTACCACCACATACAGGCTTCGCCTCGTGTGATCACAAGAGAGCACGCGACGTCAAGACGCACGTCTCCCATGGCCACGCCTCGCTCCGGAACTCAGAAGAGACATGACGTAGTCCTCGCGGATCGGAGCCTCCGACGCGGCGATGCTTAGAAGGCCGCTGGGAGGCCACTGGCAAGTCGCCGACCAACGTTATCGATGAAGTGCGCTGACATGCAGAACTCAGGTCCACGGCCCTGAGAGCAAAGGCAGACCTGTCCTGCATGGCTTCGTCATCTTGCGGGCTCGGGACAATGCCTGCTGACCTGCGGAGGCGAGGGCATAGGGCAGGGTCTCCGACGCCGGCGCTGTGCTTTGGTCCGGGGCCACGAGGCATCCAAAGCAGCCTTTCGGGACGGCGGAGCAGGGAGAGGACGGAACGGAGTGTGTGTGGTGTCCACCTCAGCAAGTCCAGCTAGTGTACATGGCAGAAATGTTCTGCCGGCAGATATGGCAAATATGGCAATTGCCATGGTCGGCAGAAACTGGCAAATATTTAAGCGCCTCAGTGGAGAGACATCGAGTCTGGAGTGAGTTCCTCTTGACATACATTCATCAGAGTGCCCTAGGGAGTACCTGAAAACGTTTTCAGCTTACCAGTCAGCCTCAGATGAGGCTTCAAAGCTTTCTGAAGGGGTGTAGTGCATGAAGAGCGGCGTAGGCTGTTCCTCATTGTTCTAGCGCCGGTCACACTTTCACCAAAGAACAAGGTGAGAGCAATCAGCATCGTCCTGAGCCCACAGAACGCTGTGCTGTGGAAGCCGTCACATACTAGTACTTTTACAGGGCTTTCGTATGAGTACTCAGGCAAAGCCCGCGGGAACCACCCCTAAGACCGTTTTCTGGTATGAGCGCTAAATATATCTGCCAGTATTTGCCAGTGCAGCCCTGCTGGCAGAATGGCAATTGCCACTGGCAGAATGGCAGCGGCAGAATGGCAGCATTCTGCCGCGTACACTAAGTCCAGCACCTGCCGTAACCCGTGCGCGTACTCACCAAACAGATCGCGGACCTCCATCTGATCCTCGCGGGGCAATGACGTCGAGGTGAAGAAACAGGCAGCGCGAGCCTCGTGTCGCGTTGCACGTACAGACAGTGCGTGCGTACGCTGGCAGGCACCGCTCGGTGCCGCGTCCCGAGGTGAGATGAGAGCCCGGGAGAGAGGAGAGTCCAACCGTGCCTCGTTGAAGATCGCAATCGGCCGCTTGAGAAAGATCGCCCACGGCGCGTGTGCGCACGCGAGCGAGTCCGACAGAACGAGGAGTCGAGGACGCCGGCGACGCTGGTGCACGAGGAGGGCACGAGGCGTTCGCGGGATCTGTTCTCACTGACCGTCGTCCCGCTAGCCTCCAGGCCGCGAGATGACATCACGCGTCAGATGTTATTGTTGTTGTTCCCGCAGGAGGCAGCTTATCCTCGTCCTGTGCTCGAAGCCCGAGCGAACCGTCCGAACAACATGCGTTGATCGTGCTCGTCCCATCTCTGTGTTTCGACGATGCGCGCGAGACGTCGTCCATACCGCAGCTGCCCGGGGCACGCGCAGCCCGATGCTCACCTGGCCTCATACGGAAAAGAAGTTGCCTTAGTGGGCTAGACAATGCGAACCTAATCGCCGTTGCGGTCCTTGGTCGCGACAGACAGTCCTGAGAGCCGTTGTCTCGCTCTCATGCGACACATCATGCGATGGACATTGAACGCAGTGCGACGCATGCATTCAGTCGTGCCTACACATCAAAGAATCGTAGAAAGATGTCATTAAGATCATTTCATCGTGGGGCGAACAGCCCGAGAAGGGGGAGAAGGCAGGAAATGGAGGCGAGGGGCGGCGTGTGATGGACTGATGGCGAGAGAGGACTCGGAAGTAATGCGGGGGTGGGAGGTCTGAGGTATGTACAACGTAGAGGATACTGGTACTTTCTGATATAGTTATGATGACGATAGCGAATAAACAGTACAATAAGGCTAATGCTGATGTTATATATGTCGTCTGGGGGGGTCGTCAGGTCATCAAGATGGGAAGAAAGGAAACGCGAAGGGGAGACAGGGCGAGGCGACGGGGGAGGGTATCGATCCGTGGGTATGGTACATCTATGCTGTACAAGAGAAGCAGTCCTTTGTTTTGTTTATGCGATGGTGATGAATATGCTGATGGGTGCTGCAGTGTCCGTGGAGAGGAGAATAAGAGACGCGTCTGTTGCCGGGCAACGGCGCGGGGACATGCGCGAGGGTATCGAATGCGATTGCGAATGGCGAAAGCGAGAGCGACGAAAGCGAGAAGCGGTCGAGGAATGGGCGGCCCGCGCACCGTGGGTGATGATGACGCGCAGCGGTCGCGCTCAGTGCTTGGCGACGTGCAGGGCCCACACCATCCCGGGAGCGAGCCCCTTGGCCGGGTTGCCGTTCGGGACCGGGGAGAGCCCGAGGAAGGACGTGCGGTCGCAGAGGTAGTCGACGCGCTTGACGTACTTCGCCTTCTCGGTCTCGCGGTCGCGCGGGTGCGCGATGCGGCGGTAGCGCGAGACGTACGCCCTGTGGATGCGGTCGCGCGTCGCGGGCTCGAGCGCGTCGAGCTCGTACTCGGTCACCCCGAGGCGGAGCGTGCGGTAGAGCGTGTGCAGGACGTCGCCGACGGTCACGTACGGCGCGGCCCAGAGGGCGTGCGGGGTGGGGACGACGGTGATGGCCCAGGGGAGGTGCTCGCACATAACGACGAGCGACGAGAGCGCGGGGTATGTGGCAGGCTCGCATACCATTGTGTTGGTGAGGTGGTGCGACGCTGAGGGCAGGCGTGGACGCGCGGACTCTGCTGCCTCAGTCATGTCCCAGGAAAGGGGAGTAGCGTTGCCAAGCTGGCGCGCGAGGATGGGGTGTAGTGAGATTCCGCCTGGTGCATAGTGCGGCGGTGCGTAGGCGTTCGCCTTGGCCGATGGTAGTGAGTAGTACACCTGCGGGGGCGTTGCGGGCCCAGGCGAGGAAGACAGCGTCGAGCTGGTAAAGGTCGAGGAGGGCGGGGTGGAGGGGACGTCGACGAAGTGGACGTGCTTGCCGGGCATTGCGAGGAGCGGATAGTAGTAGAAGAAGGGGTAGGGATAGATGCGGGCTGTCTTGTATGGATGCAGGGCTGGAGCGGCTGGTTGAGGGGATGATGTGAAGGCCTGGTGACGGTTGCCCCTATATAGGCTTGTATGTACGGGGGAGATGTTCAGTAGCGCGCGTGCACGTCCGCAGCGATTGGCAACATTGCATCGCTAATAGCGAACACTGCTTGTGGTCGCTCCCCGCGGCGCCGCTATGCAATGAGAAGAGAATCAGGGTGAGTCAAGCTGAGGCTGAGTGCGGGGCGACCGCTGTGCCTTGCCTTGGATTTCCGTTTCGAAGCCCGCCGCCATCGCCAGCCACCTCTCCTCTGCAGCAGATCCCGATCCCCCATCGCACCCATCGCCATTACAGCAAGCCCTCCTCAGAACAGGCAACTTGTCGCTCGACGCCCGCCCGCCGTATCGCCCCACCCTCGCCCTCCCATTTCAAATCACTGCCCCGGCGCCGACTCGGGCCTTCCGCTCCCCGACAACTTGCCATAACCGTCCACAATCCCCTCCTCTTTCGGCACTTCTTGGACACGTCTACGTGTCCCGAAGCTCGATGGCGCAGTAGCCCCCTTGAGTTCGACAATGCAGAACGCGCCCTCGTCAGTCTGGTGCTGCAGCTCTGACGTGGCGGAAGCCCAACGTGTGCATATACGCCGCCAGGCCGCCCGCACTGCAGCCGACCACTGACACCTGCGCAGGAAGAGAACACAGCTGCGCGGCGCAACAGCTCAGCAGAAGCAGCCAAGTAGGCTTAGCTATAGGTATGGAGGAAGGACGTGTAGACACGTCTTATCGCCCGACAGAACGGACTCGGCCAATATACCCAGTCCGCCAGCAGCACCGAACATTCCGCCGTGCCGGAAGCTCGGGCCACCGTCTAGCACGTAATGTAACCTTCATGCTGGATCCCGCGAGCGCGGCCTGCGGTAAGTCTCCTTGCTTCGCGGCGGTTCCTTCTTAGTTTCGGGCTGCTGCGCCCTCTCTCCGGAGGATCAGTCCCATACAGCGCGTATTTGGTTTGATCTGTTGACCGTTTCCGGCCATGCTGATCGTGTTGAACTTTGACCGTGCCGCAGGGACTTGGTTGTGGGGGTTCGCTGCATCGATCCATCCTTCGCAGCTCCGACGGCGACCACGCGCTACCAAACCGTCAGTGCCAATCCAAATCGAAGCGTCACGAATATGCCGCGGCGGTGTATTGACGCCGCCGCCAAGGCGATCCCCGGTTGCCTCAGGATTCGGATCCCGCACAAACGATGCTCTGGTATCGTGACTCTGCGTTCGCACACGTAGGTAGCTCGCGGGGTGCAGAGGCATCTTCTTGGAATGCAGGACTACCGCAGCCACTGACTGTTGTGCGAACCGAAGGGCTCCTACGTGGGACATCGGGGATGCGCATCGAATGGTGCGGATTCACCATCACGCCTCCGTGCATGCGGGACTCCGTCGGACGCGTCCACAACTGCGCCGTCTGACACGGTGACGTCCGCGGGGCAGCCAAGTCTGCCATGGAAGTGCACATGACGCGGACCGTGCTTATATGGAGCATGCCATGAACGGATTGAGAGTTCAAGATCGCTGACTTCGTTCTAGGACGAGATCTAGGGGCGCCTACTGCAAGGTGGTCCGACGTGCGGTGCGCCTTGGTTCGAGGCTTGTATGTAGACAACAGACACCACCCCCATGAGCTCCGGAGAAGGCAACTTGCATGTTTCCCGGAGTGATATGAGACCCCAAGATTCCGCCTTCATGCGAAGGGTCGAGCATGGACTATTGTGGTTACATATGATTCGAAGGTGATCGGTCCTTCGTCTGGATGGCTTCCCTGCAGCGACCTCTTTCTCGACTGACACGTCGTGAACCAGTGTTCAAACATCCACGATATGTATATGATCCTAGACCCGATCCTATCGTGCAGGTCAGGATACGCAAGAGTTTCTGTTTCCGTGCTTGCGCCTCCACCATCCTCCGCAATGCACTCACGACTCCGTCGGGAAGCGATCAGCTTGATAACTTCGAGGTCTGGGTCTCCTCGACACATGTGCGGAGGTCTCCGGAGTCTGTTGATTATCCTGGGTTAATAAGGACAAGCGCAGAGTCCCCAGCAGTTACTCGTACAGATGCTTTCGGTATGCAACTTGTCCTGACCAACGCCCAGTGCTGCTGTCGGATCTAATCCTACACGATCGTTGCACGATTCCGTATTCCATAATCACGAACGGTTAAATTGAAGGCATCGCAACAGCGTTCAATCTAAATGCCCATCGTATGATACCGTTCCCAGGACTGCCGGTCGCGCGCAAGGAACGCAACAGCGATCAGGTTCGCATCGTCTAGCCCACCAAGGCAACTTCTCTTCCGCTTCAGGCCAGGTGAGCATCGGACTGCGCGCACCCCGGGCCAGCAGCTGCGGCACGGGCGACATTTCGCGCGCATCGTCAAAACACGGAGATGGGACGGACACAACCAACGCGTGGTGCTCAGACGGTTCGCTCGGCCTTCGAGCACAAGACAAGGACGAGCTGCCTCCTGCGGGAACAACGACAATAACATTTGACGCGTGATGTCATCTCGCGGCCTGGAGGACAGCGGGACGACGGTCAGTGAGAACAGATCCCGCGGCCGCCTCGTGTCCGCCTCGTGCACCAGCGTCGCCGCCGGCGTCCTCGACTCCTCGTTCTGTCGGACTCGCTCGCGTGCGCACACGCGCCGTGGGCGATCGTTCTCGTGCGGCCGGTGGCGATCTTCAACGAGGCACGGTCGGACTGGGTCTGTTGTCTCCTCTCCCCCGGGCTCTCATCTCACCTCCGGACGCGGCACCGAGCGGTGCCTGCCAGCGCGCGTACGCACCGTCTGCACGCGTGACGCGACACGAGGCTCGCGCTACCTCTCCTCTTCACCACGACGTGGACAGATGTGCAAGTTTTCAGGACCGCACACACACATCACATTCCGTCCTCCGACTGACTTCCGTGCTCCCGCCAGCGCCGACGTTCCGAAAGGCTGGGTTGGCGGCCTCGTGGCCTCGGAACAAGGCCAGCGTCGAAGGCCCTCCCTTACACCTCCGAAGGTCAGGAGACCGCTAGATCGCGAAAGCCACGCAGGACGGGTGTGTCTCTTCCCTTTCAAATCCGTGGAATCGAGTTCTGTATGTCAGAGCGCGGTTCATCGATACTGAACGTTAGTCGGCGACTTGGCCTCCCAGCGGAACTCCAAGCATCGCCGCGTCGGAGGCTCCGATCCGCAAGGACTACGTCGTGTTTCTCAGAGTGAGGCATGGGATCCTTGACGTCGCGTGCTCTCTTGTGAGCACACGAGGCCAAGGCCGGTAGCGCGTGCGTGGCCGTGTCGTCGGATATAGCAGGACTGCCGCACTCCCTCCCCCTGCGAGGACAAACCTTCCGGGTGGGATGCGTATGTTACCGATAAGGTGATGACTTGCAACATCGCAGGATTCCCTGTGCCGCCTCCCCGCCCGCCGTCTTTGCTGTTGATTGTGCTTCCTCGAGGCGATACTCCAAATGGCGCCTTGTGACCTCGACAGAATCATTTCCGCACCATGTGGAACGTGGAACGGGGCTGGGGGGCTACGCATTGTATAGCACAGTAGTCAACAGAGATATATATCTCTTTGCACGAAGGGCCTGAGTGCCGCGTGGGACTGTGGCTAAGTGCAGCCGGAGGATATGTGGGGGAGGCGAGCGGCGTGCGAAGACTCGAGAAGAGGCTCTCTATAATAGCAGACAGAGATGGATATTGTGGTATTCACTGCAGTAGAGAGGCAATCGTCGATACAGGAGAAGACGCTGAGGTAGCAGCAGAGGCGGAGGGGCGGAGCTCGCAACACAGACGATCAAGATCACAGTGCCGCACTCAAGAGTCCCGAACAGAAAGCCTGCGTGAGCGACATAGGTAGTGTAGTAATCAGTGCAGCGTGGACAGAACAGAAGAGTCCCGCAGAGAGCTCGCACGAACGCAACTTCGTGTGCACTTGTTCTGCCCTCCCGGACGTCCGTCGCGTCTCGCCTCTCTAGCTCGATGCCATCACTTCACCACTGCGACTCAGACCGTTGTGCATTCGCTGCTCGCGTCACAACTTGTATACGACCCGAACCCGTCTAACACAAGCCCAGCAGTCTCGAGAGCCTGAACCCAGCACGTCCAGCGCGCTCAGACTGCCAGATCGGGGATGCGACAATATGCGTGCAGGCGGAGACGTTGTGAAACAGCGGGGGCGATGTCGTGCTCGGGTCATCCGCACGTAACGCTGGCAGCTGGAAGTGAAGGACAGGGTACGCTCAAGTTGACCACACACATAGACTTGCTGTCGGCGGTGCAACCCCGCAGGCCAGCAGTAACGTTCGCGCTCGCCGGCGGCGTGTCTACTGGCAGAGGATCCAGGTACGTTGTCGCACGCGGTGAGTCCCTTGGCTTCCGTGCGTGTATAGTCCCGCATGTGTCGCCGATGAGTCTGCAAGTCATCCGCAGGCGACTACACCTTAGGGCCTCCCAGGGATGTGGCAAGGTGTCCTGCGGTCGCCTCAGAACGATACCTTTGGTCTCGACCTTGCTCTTGCATGAACCTATAGGTTTCCGCCTCGACTGTAGGTCAGCAGCAGCTGAAGCGTTATCAGCGGTACTCACCTCATCAGACGAAAGTGCTCGCTATTTGATCATGTGCTGAAGCTGAGTCTTGTGGATGCCGACGAAACGGTGGGCTCAGGCATACATCACGACTAAGGGCGAGGTGAGCCAGTAAATCGTAATACGATCCAAGGCTGGGAGCTCAATCGCGCGAGGTACTTACGACATGGCAGAGGTTGGGGAGCATGGCCGTGAGAACAACGTGCCCTCCTGGCCTTGATGCTTGCATAGATGCGGTCTTGGTGTCCAGGCAGAGTGTCCAAGCCTTTCATGTGAGGACATCAGCCGCGAACAGTGAGACTCGGAATGAGCACGAATATAACAAGGGATCTTTACTGCTTCCGACGAAGTGCCCAAGGTATGGATCGGATGGCGGGACAGATAGATGGTATTCAGGTCTTGGAAGCTTGCGCAGCATGCTGCTGACAGAGGGGCGGGATGCGCAGTACGAGCAAACGTCGCCAAGACCACCTCGAGACGCTGTGTATAGTTCCAAGTACACGTATCCTCAGACTGAGCCGGTGCACAGTTGGTGTTGTACTTGACTCGATATTCGGATGTACCGTCTATGTATATACATTCTCGTAGACGCTGCGGCTAACGCCGAGCTAACAGCTCTAAGGGACCGCCACTAAGAGCTTGAGCGCAGTTGGCACCATACTGCGCGTATATAATACACTACTCTCTCCCTTACCTCCACGGTTCTGTCTCTGCGTGCTTGCCGTCCCGCCTCCTGCTCGCGACCATGTCTGTAGATGATCACCTTCCAGCCTATGGCGACAATGCAAGCGCTGTCAGGCCCGACGACCACGCTCAGACCGCTGCGCAATCGCCGGTATCGGCTGATAACAATGCTACCGCGGACGCTGCCGGTCATGGGAGCTCAGCTACTTCTGAGCTTCCTGAAGAACAACCTTCTCTCTCACAAAACGCCTCCGTGAACCCATTCGACATCCAACCTGAGCCTGTAGCGCAGGCTGACGACACCCCCAGCCTGCCTCCAAGGCCGGAGCCCGTAGAGCGCTCCATGGGCACTAACGCCCCAAACACAGAGGGCCTTGGCGCACAGGGAGTCGATGCCGCGGCGCAGGAGGAACGCGTGAGCCCCCAGGTGCAGTCCTTGCGCGCGATGTTCCCCGATTTCGACGTTACCGTACTGTGAGTTACTCAGTCACCCCTCGGCACTGCATAAGTGTCGCCTTCGGGCAGCCGAGGACTCATCGCTGAGTGAACACGCACATCGCTTGCAGGCAGTCTGTACTCGATTCCGTGAACAATGACCAAGAGAGGGCGTTGGACGTTCTGCTGGGAATGAGCGACCCGGAGTATGTGTCAACGACAGAGCCCGTTCGACAGGTGCGTTCATGAATGCAATGACATTGATCCTGCGTCTGACGTCGCCGACCCTATCCTCATCAAATACGTCGTTTGCGTTTTGGGCTTGTGCATCCATGATGCCAGGCAGAGCCCTCGCTGGACTTGGACGAGCAGCTCGCTCGCCAACTCATGCTCGAGGATCAACAACAACATCAGCAGCAGCAAGCGAGTGGGCAATCCTGGCCCCGACGGACCGAAGGGGACGTCCCGTACCAGGCACGGCGACAACCTGGGGCTCCTCTGGGCTCCAATAACAGCGGAGAACAGAGCGACCAATTCCAGGAGTTCCAGCGCACGATGGGGCAGATCGCGGAGAGCGGGAAGCGGACGTTCAGTTCGATCGTGTCCCGCGTGAAGGCGAAGATCAACGAGTACGAGCAGTCTAGGTGTGTCACGTCTCCGCCCCTTTCCAGTCATTGTCTAATGAGACGTTACAGGACTGCGAATGCCGGCCAAGCGTCGAGTGCATCTGCCCCTCCCCAGTGGGGCTCTGCCCCGCCTACGAACCTGGATCGCCACACCGCTTCTGAGGCCTACCAGCAGCAGTACTTCGGCTCGGCGGTCCCTGCTCAGGCTACCAGGTCCGCAGTCCACGACCCGGCCGACTTGCATGGGTATGATGTCGAGGAGCCCGCGCGGCGGAGTGAGCATGGCCATCGCAATCTCTTCTAATCCCGCTGATGGTCGGTGATGCAGGCCAGCCCCCGGCGATCTCGTCGTCGATCCCTACACCCGCGTCACAGCAGTCGAATACAGGCTTAGGCCTCTCAGCATCCCCGTCGACGCCCCCGTCTTCGGACATTCCCCGCCCTCCTCCCACAAGCAGCGGCAGCCCCGTAAACCCTGGTGAGGCGTCTTTCGTTGACATCTTGTTGGTAGGCACGTCCTGACAGAGGCTCGTAGCCAAGGTTGGGCTCCTGCCGAAGCGCCCCGTTTCTCTCCTGAACACGAACTCGCCGCCGGCCACAAGACCGAGCGACGAGGATGATGATCTTGAGTATGTTGAGAACCCCTTCGAGGAGCACCAGTAGACCGAGTCAGGGGGCGCTCGAATGGAAGAGGGGGCGTTAAGGATTTGGATCCAACGGGCGGAAGGTGTGCTTATGCTTGATGTTCCTTGATGTCTTGTGGAAAGAACGGTTCCGGCTCGGGTTCATCAACGAATCAGTGTTGTACTTCTATGGTCGATGAATATGATGCTTTGGGGAGTGTCGGTTCTGGAATAGCTCCTGCATGAGACGTCTTGTGGCAAAGGTGCGAGTCTATCTCACTCGGTCTATTCTGTCGGGTAGAAGCGTCGTGGAATCCCGTCATGCCGCTCGGGATACCCATGTGATTGCATCATAGTAGGACAGCATGGACGTTGGCATGCTTTGGAAACAGCGCTACCTACACGCATGCTTCCTGCACCGTGCAGTGCTCATCCAGCTGCCTGACACATACATAATGAGATCGCCCTGGGTTGCCTTGCTGCTTATCTTCTTGCGTCATAGACATGCAAACTGACTACAGCTGCCGATGACGGGTACAGCAAGTGAGACGTCAGAGCAGCATCATGTGTACTCTCCGCCACCTGATAAAACCCTCCCAAGGCACGTCAAGACGGAGTACGGCAACGAGTGCATAGCACGCTACCATTGCCAAACTCGAGGATGAGGCGACCTCTAGGGACCGTGGACGCGGCGCAAGGAGCGACCCCGGCTCGACCACGGGACCTTGCGGGACCAAGACGTCGCGGCAATCTCAGGCTCTTCTGATCGCTGCCATTCATCATGCATCGGGTTGTACTACTAAGCTGTGCATTGTGTCTGTTGAGGTATTTACTTATCGGCGTAGCGTTGTCAGATACCGTCGACACTCTTGTAACCAATATTTCTGGCAACCGATAAGCTCTGAAAATCCTGGGACTTTGGCTTCACCGAGTCAGGGTAAGGGGAATTTGACCCCCATAGCCTGTTAGGGCCAAAACAAGACGCATGCGTTTATAGGTCTCTCCTTGCACTATTGGTCACATAGAAGCCTCAGAAGAGACACAAAGGATGCTTCATCAGTGACTATTGTGGGTAGGCCGGCGTGCTTGAAAACCCATAGCACCGCAGAGGGTCTGTAGACGTCCTTCCGGCGCTCGCGGACCGGGGCCCAGACGCTGATTTGACCGATACCCTGTCATAAGCCATACATATCAGCCTGACCTGAGCCTGGTATGGGTTAAGAGGGAGTGAATTTTAGCTGCGTTCCGAATTATGGTAGACGGGGAGAACACGGCGAGGTCGACAGAAGTCTACCGTCAATTCTTGTGGATGAACAGCAAGGACTGCGGTTCGCCCGACATGCCTTGCGCTCGGAAGGTTCGAAAGTGCAAGGATACGGCGTGTAATGACGCATTCTCGACCACATGAACAGGGCGGTCGCAGAGTATACGCGTCGTCATATGCTCCTTGCGTGCATGCAGCCTCTCCAAGCGGCTGATCTGGTGGCGGCAAGAGAACCCCTGAAGAGGGCTGATGGTGCTGCATCCCGGTCGCGCCCATGGCGTATACGCTGGCCGTCTACGCATGATTGGGCGTCGCAAGGCCGCCTTATCTAAGTCACGAGTGGGTTGGGTCCCGAGCAGAAGTAGACAAGACGTGTCTAGCAACGTACGAGCCATACCGAGCCTTGTGACCATTTTGTTGAGCTGAGCTGCTTCAGAGAAGGTTGAGGGATGGCTGGGAAGGAGAAGGAGAAGGATGTCGTACCCGGATCAGCCATGTCGCTCACGTCGGTATGATAGGCAAGAGCGGCCAGACTGAGGCTGCGGTCTTGATTGGTCGTCCATGCTGCAGATCATCCTCGTAGCCACTATATTGGCATCGCCTGTCATGCTACCTCCGAGACCGCGCGTGATTTGCTGTCTTATCATGACTCTTGCCGATGCCTGCCAAATCCTCACGAAGGCATCAATGTTGCAAGGAAGCGGCCTCTAGGACCTGGAGATCAAGGCTGTTCGCCTACTACGACCGCAGCAACTAGTGAAGGACCTAAGACAGAACTTGTTGAGCATATTGATGGAATTTCAGCCGTCTTTCTGCAAGCCCAGCAGGGCGTGTAGGCATTAGAATCAGGGAGTGAGACGGTCGTCTGGCACAAGGCCGGCGGCAAGCCTGTCTGCGGCCCCGACGTCTCGTAGACAGCGCCGCCATGTGATCATGGATCTCCCCCCGTTCTGGCGGGCCACGTGGGAGGAATGCGTGACCGTCTTGGACCTTGAAGTACATCCATTGCGACGCTGTAACGGTTCTCGACCGCCCAGGAAGGTGTCCGGGTCGCGGATATCTCGTTATCATTCTCACTGTGGCTTGTCAGATCACTGGCCTGCGTATGACACCCCATATGGTGAGCACATTCGGTCAGGCAAGGTGGCGCTGCGTGCTTGCCTCTCCCATGCTGCCTCCATCAGCATTTGTCGCCCCGACAGGGCAGATGTGCTGTGAAACGAAGTGCCTCGCGCGGTAACAACGAACTAACCATGTTGACAAACCGCGGTTCTTTCATCTAAGCGAGAATTGTCTAGCCGACGCACCATGTGGAGCACTGCCGTTCTACCTATCCAACGGCCTCTCCTCAGGCTTTCTGCCATCTCCCAACTGCTTAAATACCGACCAGCCAACCCTTCCGCTCTTTACCAGGACATCTCCTCCTGTTCCCTGCAGTTCACTGAAGACTTCGGCTCACGCCTTCTCTTCTGACATCGTTCATCATGTTCTGCAAGGCCACGCTGCTCACCGTCGCTCTCGCTCTTATGGCGCCCGCGAGTCCTGTCACCACCAAGACGGGCATTCGCATTCCCTTCGAGAAGCGCTCCTCACTCACTAATGCGGATGGTACTTTCAACCACGACAAGGCCATCATTGAGTCGGTGAAAACCCTCAAGTAAGTGTTCCGACATTCATGCTGTCGGTGACATAGACAAACAGAGCTGATGAGCCCGTCATCTCGCCTTGCCTCAACCCTGCAGCAAGCACCGTGCGAACCTGATCAACCTCGAGAAGAACGTGGGCACACACGTCTTCAAGGAGGGCGCCGAGATTAAGCCCCTCGCTGTGCTCCCCGACCACCTCGCCAAGCGCCAGTCTGAGTCGCTCACCGACGAAGACAACGACGAGGAGTGGGCCGGCAAGATCTCCATCGGCACCCCCGCGCAGAAGTTCCTCATCGACTTCGACACTGGCTCCTCTGACCTCTGGATCCCCAGCTCATCCTGCACCAGCTCAACCTGCAAGTCCAAGAACAGGTACAAAGCGAGCTCGTCCTCTTCGTCCAAGAAGAAGAGCGGCTCGTTCTCTATCCAGTACGGCGATGGTTCGACTGTCTCGGGACCCGTCTACACCGACACTGTTTCCGTCGCAGGCGTCAAGGTCAAGTCCCAGACCTTCTCGCCCGTGACCACGCTCTCCAGCTCCTTCAGCTCCGATCCCATTGATGGCATCCTCGGTCTCGCTTACCCCGCCATTTCCAACCTCAACGCGGTACGAAATCACGCACTTTGTTTTCCCTATGCTCGCGCTCACCTCCCTCACTACAGGACCCTTTCTTCAACACCGCGATTGACCAGGGTGTTGTCTCCGAGGGTGTCTTCGGTTTCAAGCTCGCCTCCTCCGGCTCTGAGCTCTACCTCGGCGGCACCAACGACGAGCTCTACTCGGGCTCGCTCGAGTACCACGACGTTGACACATCCACCGGCTTCTGGCAGCTCACGGGCGCGAAGACGTACGTGAACGGCGAGTCGGTCGTCACCGGCATTGAGACGATTATCGACACCGGCACCACCATCTTGTACGGCCCGCCCTCTGCCGTCAAGAAGGTCTACGCGGCCGTCGACGGCTCGGGTGTGTACGACTCCTCCCAGGGTTACTACTACTACCCCTGTGACTCGCCCCCCACCATTGCTTTCTCGTGGGGCGGCAAGAAGTGGGCGATCTCTTCCGACAAGTGAGTCTCGACTTCTATACCGTGGCGCGCGCATCGTGCAGTCGCTGAATGCCCCTCCTTTCTCTTCCAGCCTTAGCCTCGGTGAGACCGAGAGCGGCTCCGGCAAGTGCGTCGGCGCCCTCGCGGGCCAGGACCTCGGCCTCGGCAGCAACGTCTGGCTGCTCGGTGACTCGTTCATCAAGAACGTCTACACCGCGTTCTCCTTCGACGACGACGCCGTCGGCTTCGCGAAGCTCTCTTAAGCGCAAAACGCGCCGTGTCACGGTATGATGAGTATTACGACACAGAAAATAGGAGAAGAAAGATTTGCATACCCCTGTCGCGCAGTATGGTTGCGAAATGAAAACCATCTCGGTTTTCTGCCAACGCCAGCGGACTATGTACAAATATGTGCGCACACGACCACTACACACGTATACCTCCACCCAAGAACTCTGATCGCATTGCATTGGATGTGGCTTCCGTATGACCCTCGTTATTGACTTACTTGCTGTTGGTATTCAGTTCAATAACATGGCATTGCGCACGTTCTTTGGAACTTTCTCTGGATTGTGTGCTTGGGGTCTCAATATCTACACAGCAAACATGTCTGCTCGGGAGAAGTCGAATGGTCGACTTCTGCCTCCGCAATTGGAGTCATGGGAGAACGAGACTGACAACCTATCTTTGGCCAAGAATGCTACCGGCTCCGCGGACCGGCATAGGCGGTTGTAGAGGCGCCATCTTGTGGCATCGCACCTTGAACGCGAACGACCACTTTCGAAATCCGGGTCCTGCATTAATCCAGCCTCGCTATCTAACCTCCTATGTGCACTGTCATGCATTTCTTATTTTCGTATCCCCAAAACTCGAATCCCATGCTAAGTTAACTGGACACTGCCCGCATATATGCATCGCCCGCGAGTTTAGCACTCTCCGGCCGAGTGCACTTCGACTACGACGGGACCTGACATCATTCAGGGATATGCCCGAAGAATTCTTGTGTTTCGGTATGTTATGGTCTATCCAATTATAGGCTTCACTGTGCACCTGTTATCCAGAACCTGACGACTCAATAAGCGGGCATTATTGTGAACGCACGGTCAGGCGCTGGTGGCGTTGTAGCCGTTGTCCTGTCCGCGGGGTTGTTCCGCGCGCAATCAGCCTGGCGCTGAACGATGGGAACTACGAACAATTGTACCTGCTCCTGACCTACTGTTGTAAGGCTTCCCTTGTTATACCCCTCCTCCGAGTTCAGATGATATATAGCGTAAGAGGGCGCGTCCAACGTGCTTCAACTCGACCGACGCCCCTTTCACCTCTAGACAAGCACTCAGCGGACACGATGCTCTTCAGGGCTAGTGAGCTCGAAATTCGGATGGCTACATCGGGCCATGTCGACGAAACATCGTGGAAGACTAGTGAGAAATGGCCGAGGGACGTCAGCGATTCTGAAGATTCGTCATTACTCGGCGACACCTCCATGGTATGTACGTCCGTTATTATTGCACTTTTTTGTACCCATAGTATCTCGCATATCAGGACGTACCGGTGGCATGTGCATGTATAGACAGACGGAACGGGTGCAGTGCAGCATCGCATCCCGAGTCCTCTACATATACTTTAGCCAGGAGCCTTTCATTACCCCCATACTCAAATGACCCATGGAACCACTGCTATCCCATCGATCTTATTCATTGCCAAACTCACAGTAATACTCGCCCTGTGATGCCCCCTCTCCTGAGGTATCAAGAACTGACCTTCAAGCGGGTCGGCGAAGCCATCGACCTCTTCCGACAACTGTTCGAGGTACGGAGGTCTTTGCTGGGGTCAGGGGTACCTTTCTGGCTAAGCTGTCGGTGCTTTGCTACAGGGGTTGTTATTTCTACACCGACACTATATTGCTCATAGGTCCGTCGAGTCGCCTCTGTCCCTTCGCGCATCAGCTCAATCCCATCCTAGAGACTACACATCACGCCACATAGCGATGCTTGCCGAATGTCCTTGGCCTCAATACTACGTCACGCTATCTCCGGCCTCTCAAGCATACGATCCCAACGAGGAGCTACTTGCCTTTCCATACGTAGGTGGGGATATGTCAATCCCAGAGTATCGGGAGGGGCTCCTCGGCCTGCATGACCCGTTCGCCATAGACGTCTACTGTTTAGGCAATCTGATAAAGAGAGACTTCATTCAGGCAACGCTTCTCTGTTCATTCATTGATGCGTCAGTCCGGAACTGACCTCGTACATGTCTCTAGCTTTACTCCAACTTGGACTTCATGAGCGACCTTGTCGCGGAAATGGTCCATGACGACCCGGGAAGACGCCCGCCCATGGACGAGGTCATGGAGGAATTTGAGAAGGCCGTTGGGGGCCTGACGATCAAGACGATGAGAAAACGGCTCCGGAGGCGACGTTCGCATCTGATCAACTTTCTCATCAAGACCTGCTCTTGATACCCTCGCTATCTCGTTTCTCTACTTTCGCTGTTGTTATACCCTCACATCTCCAATATCCGCGTTGAAACCTTCATGCCGACAGCACTGGCCGTTAGTTAAAATAGATTATGTACTGAATTGTAACAGTTTGTATCTATAGTTCCATGTCACGATACCGCCTAAGGCGAGAACAAGGACTCCCGCATAATGTTCGGAGAGTAACGATCGCGTAAACTGGTACTTGACGACTGCAGGGGAAGGAAAATCTTGGCAGGCAACCAACCTCTATACAAGAGCCTAGTCCGGGGCAGACAAGGGAAGAAGGCGGCGATGTTCCTAGTTCCTTTCGGTGTCCAGCATTCACGTTGAAGGGAGCAAAAAAGTCCTTGTTCCGGATGACATTACACGCAAGATTACAATACGCACACCCCGGCTCACCGCGAGTGCTGAGCCACACCCCCAGTCAACGTGCTCGGCAACTGCTGTTCGCCCACGCCCGAAAGGAGCGCAACAGACCCCCCGATGAGCAGCAGCAGCGTGATCGTCGTCCCGGCAAGGAGCACGAATGGCCTGTCGTCCGCACGCCATCGTCAGCGCCAGCCCGCAAAAACAGCAACAACACCGCAGAAAGCAGACAACGCACCCGCTCACATCCTGCCGCTCGCACGCGCTCCCCGCCCAGTGCTCCTTCCTGCCCTTCGGGTCCGTCGTCGCGCTGCATGCGCACACGAAGCACGTCTTGCCCGCCTTGGTCGCCGCGACGCACGCACCGCGTCCGCTGCACGCGTCCGTCGCGTTCCCGCACGTCTCCGCGCTCGCGTGGCACGTCGAGATCGCGGCGATTGGCTCTCCGGGGCGCGGCAGCGGCAGCGGGCTCTGCTGTGGCTGGCGTTTACTGTGGCCGTGCGTGCGGCCGGAATGGTGCGAGTGGGAAGAGGGGACGGAGACGATGGCGAGTTTGACGTCGTCACGCTCCGCGAGGTCCTTGAGGATCTCGCGGAGAACCTTGTGGGCTTCGTGCACTTGCTCGTGGTCTGTCTCGGGGGCGGCCTTGAGGGACGCGGTGAGGGAGGTGAAATCGAAGGCGGCGAAGCGGTCGACAGGGTAGTCGCCCTCGAGGAAGTCCTTCAAGTCGGCAAAGACCTGCAGGGAGGCCGCCGTACTTTCGTGGGGCGCGAAAGGTATGGTCGGCTCATAGACGTGAGAGTACACGTGATGAGCGCGGTCGATGTAGGTGGGTATGAGGACGGAAAGGGAGTCGGCGGTGGGTGTGGGGGAGATGGAGAATGTGGACTTCTTGAGGGAGTGGGGGATCACCGCTGCCATTGTTCCGTCAAGCCCTCCGACTCTACTTGCTGCATGGCTAGTGTAGGACGTACCTCGTGCATCTTCCTCACTGATTGTCAAAAGCATCCCGGTACCGAAGCCACGGCCGACGAATAACCCCTGTTCTCTGAAGTTAGGTGCAGCATCCTCGAACCGCTCGAGATCGAGATGTCTGGCAAGGGTTGCGCCGGCGGTGCAGGCATGTAGGCGAGGAGGAACATGAGGGCCCGGATGCAGGTATACTCGGACGGCCTGAGTGAGGCCAGTGAGCAACAGAGGAATGAAGAGTCCCTTCATGGTGTCGTGGCCGCTGCTGGTCGTCACCGGGTCTGACTGGCGTTCAGTAAGGTTGGCCCAACGAAGATTCGACACCTCCCGTCACGCCTGTCACACTGTCCGTGTCCCGCCCCTCCACTGCGATTTCTGGGTATCGGCTCGTATAAAATTGAGCTATAGGCTCTGTGGTACCATACATGCCGCCTATCCAAGTTTTTTCCTCAATGCAGAGGGAGGGGAAAGCAGCGAGGGACCTCGCAAGCTCACGTGATAATCACGTGATGGGGTCGAATCTTCGTTGGGCCAACCTTACCACGATCATGCTTTGGCTCTGTTTGGCTCTGTGGCAGATCCCCCGTATTGAAGCGCTCATTCAACTGCCAGACTCATGACGTCAATCAAAGTGACTATTCCCCCTGGCAGAGATGGGCGAGGGACTGATGACACCGGGGGTCAAGCTAAGCTCAAGCGTGAGAGAGTCTATGGTTTCCCTACCGATTGCATGTCATAACTTAGGCATTGTAGAAATCCGTAAAGCCAGAATTCTGGAAGCTGAAATAGAGAGAAAGCCTGAGCCATTGGAAGGAATCGCCGCTGCCGACTTTCGGGGTCCTGGGGTCAAGCACATCTCTGCCCCCTGGACGTGCATTTACAATGAGGGAAAGCTGGTTTACATTGATTTCAATAACGAAAGGGTACACGTAGTGGTACATCGCAAGCGAGGGGATCTGATACAATGGGGTGGAAACGTAGGGCGGGTATACTTCCCAGTCAGGACCAAGAAGGAGTATATGTTATTACAACAGCAAGTGTCCGCGCTGTGAGAGGGGTATAGTAGCGGAGAAGTAGAGTTGGGATAGAGGGGGTTGGCGAGATGATGAACCGATTAGAAGGCGAGAAGTTCTTCAACCGTGGCGACCGAGACGACCAGTGCTCTTCCTGATGCTCTTAGCTTCATTCTGCTTGGCTCTGGCCCGGCGGGCTCTGCGAATGCACAGTAAATAGATAGACGTATGTGACAGGTCAGCGAAGACTCACTCCTCCAAAGCCTCTTGCTCGAGCATGCGGACCTGTTCCTTGGCGCCTCGGACGGCAGCCCTGGCCTCGTTCAAGGCGCGATCAGCGGCGGTCTCAGCAGCCTCTGCGTCGGTGACCTTCTGGCGTGCCGCGACTATGGAAGGGTCGTGCTTGAGGTCGGGCATACTCGGGTCCGACGAGCTCGACCGACGGCGGCTGAAGAAGCCGCCTCCCGATCGGGTCGAGCCAGAACGCACGGAGGCATTGCCATTTGAGTCGTAGGGCTCTGGGGAGTCAGCACGGCGCCCAAAGAGGCCACCGCGACCACGAGAGGGAGAGGTGGCTTGCGCCGGCGGCGGGGAAGGAGTGCGCTGAACGTTGGAATGGAAGAGAGGCATGACTACACAATAAGGAATCTCCGGGTCAGCGTGACAGCGAGGGCAGGCGTCGAGTATGCGACTTGCCTTTGAGAGAATGTAAGTTGTACGAGTGCGTGTTTGTTAAAGACCCGAGGCGAACCGCGCTGGATTATATGTCTAGCAACCCATGCCTACGTCAGTGGGGCAGCAGGCATGTGCACGAAGTCCGGTGTTCCAAGTAGCCACCAACAGCCCTAGTGCCCTTGGAGCACCATATGTTATGGGGCCATGAGAGACATGGATGGCTAAGTATTAGACTGCCTGTGATGCCGGTCTCCAATGCTGTGTTAACTTTCCTTCAGGTCGCTGACGTCACTAGGCCTACAGGTGGCCCGTGCGCGGGAACCATATCACCCGGCGGAGTTCGAACCGGAGTTCATCTCTTCCCTCAATTGCAACCTTCTATAAATGCTTCTTCCTTGTCCCCTCCTCCCACCACCCGTGGCCCCGCTGTAGTGCTCGTTGTTGTCGACGGTCCTAGGAGCGTAGCTGTGCGATGTCGAATAAGATTGTGGTGAGCTGCTCACCCGACATGTATTCTAACTAGTTCCTCCGATGACATTGGATCCCTCGATGAGCCCTCTATCTATCGCGCCGTCATCGACGACGTGATCGCCAATATAAAGCCGGAATTCGATGACTTTGGCGTGTCTGAGGAGGTCCTTGCTGAGCTTCAGAGCGTAAGTATGCTATTCGTATACGTTCCTAATTCTTGATTCACCCAGCTGTTCCTCCGCCGTGTAGAAATGGGAAGCAAAGGTCATCGCTTCCCATGTGGCCGACTTTGAGCCCCCAGCGCCACCTCCAGCACCTGCGCCTGCCCATACGGCGTACCCTCCGCACCCCATGCATACGATGCAGCACGGGCACTACCCGCCGCACACGGCCTACGCGCCTCCGCCGCATCCTATGCAAGTGGCCACTCAACCACACGTCAAGACAGAACCTATGGACGGCCGTTACGTGCTGAGTGGTCCCCAGAGCATGGCTCAGTACGGCATTCCTACGTTGTCCGGCCCGCAAATACCTTCTCGTCCTGTCGCGCCAGGCCAGCAAGTGCCATCATATCCGCCTATCAACGGTGCCCGACCTCCCAGTGCTGCGGGACAAGCCCCACCGCCGCCCACCGCGCGGTATCCTCCTGCAGTAGCTACGCAGCCAGTCGCGGCAAGGATTCCGCAAGTCGACGGTCCCTCAGCGTCAGCGTCTACATCGAGGATCCCTCAGGTCGACGGCCCCTCGTCTTCTTCGTCTGAGTCTCCTTCGCCTCCGCCTAGTCAGAACAACTACGCTCCTAGGGCCTCTCATCCTTCACTACCCCAGCCGTCGCTGAATTCATCACCTCCGAAAGTCGACGACTCTGAGGCAATCAACAGCGACCTCGATGACTCGGACTCGGATAACGAGCAAGAAGGCATTGAGGGGGGTACCGCTGACACAGACATTGTGTTCTGCACTTACGACAAGGTTCGTATCCGCCTTTCCCTTGAGCGGTGTCATCCTCCGTGCTGACAAATTGTTCAGGTCGCACGCGTGAAGAATAAGTGGAAGTGCGTGCTCAAGGACGGCATGATTCACGTCAACGGCAAGGATTACCTCTTCGCTAAGTGTACCGGGTACGTCGTTGAATAACGCGCCGAGTGCTGAGAGTGGGGTTGCCTGTCAAACCGCTTGTAACGGTCCTGGCTGGTAACCTCAATCCACGCGACTGCCGAAACAGATTCTCACCTCGAAGGGCGTGTCGCTTACATTGATTTTTCCATAGCGAATTCGAATGGTGATGGGATATGGACCCCAAGCCTGTCTTTGTGTTTCTTGCATCCCTTGTATTATTCTCCCGGGTCCCCATCTTACGCATAGCATTCACCCCATACATACGACATACATATCATATCATCGGCGCATCCACCATGTAATATACTTGTTGTCCTGTCGGTCAAGGTAGACCTGCCTGTTACATTGATTGTGACACTGGCAGAGTATTCGGCATCACGAAACACACCCCCTCACAGCGACTCGAGAGCCGGTGAAGTGGGAACAAGCAAGAAATTCTACGTTGATTTGGTTGAAGGTGCGAATAGTCTAGCATGGGCGCTGCTGTTGAGGCCGTATACAGGAGCATTACGACATATCAATAAGATGGCATCCCACCTAGAGCGGTCTGCAAGGTTGCTACAAGAGCGTACGCGCAATAGCTCCGCCCCTAGCAAATCTTTGCAGGTTGAAGACAGTCCGACGATGCTACAAGGCAGTGTAGACGCGGGCGAGCCTCGGCCGTCGAGCGTAGCGGACAGGGATGTTGTGTACTCACCTACTTAGTATGAATCACTTCTGCCAGTACTCGGCCCAACGCCCACCGATTTCCGTCATGATACATCACTCAAATTCGAGCGCACCCGTCGGGCCCGCGCTGTGCCATATGGGTGATATCAAGTGTCCGCCCACAGCGGACTCGGAGCTCCCAAGTAAGGTCAGGGTCGTACCGTTGTTTGCACACTGCACACTGCACACTGCAGTCGTTCGCCGCGCGCACTGTCGAGTCCATCTGCACGCGTTTGCTTCGCCGTCGACGAGTGTCTAGGTTTGGGACCGGCCACGGTAAACCTACCACCATGGTCAGGTCAGACATACCATGTTTCCTGGCAGGAGCTCATGGGTGGATGGTCGGAGGTATCATGTGCAAATGAAAGTATGTGTTGGAGTGATGCTTTGTCTCTAGAGAGTAGGCACCCACAGGGCCGCCCCAGCCGGGATGCGGAGCAAAACACGCGCAAGCAGGCTCGACGCGCGTGAGCGACTGTTACGGTATCTTCGTCCGGCTCATGATGCTAACCCTCGGGCCAGGGAGCTTTGCGACAACAGGATTGAAAGCACCCGCCTCTCCAGCGGCTATGCCTTCATGTTCCGCACACTTCTCGCAAGGCCCAAATTTGGTGGATAGAACGTGAGTTAAGGGAATGCCGCGTTCCGAGATCCCTACACAAGGGCGATTTTACAAATTATATGCGCCTGTAAGGAATGTCTTTAGGACCTTTGTCTATCCTCATCCTCAGAGCTACTGAAGGTAATTCTTGTATTGTTGGAATATTGCGGGCACGCTGTCTTTGTACCCTTTGTCACGCGCTTGACAGGCTGTCAAGCGCCTTCTCTATTATGCGGATCCTCTACTCTACGCTTTGCTAGTCTACATCATGTATATAAGCTACGGCTTCTTTTCCCTTGATCAATCATCCTTCCCTGCTTCTCAGCTTCTCTCTCTCGTGTGAACTCTAACAGGTTATGAGCCCTGCTTAGCTCTAACTGAGAATTACTACGCTTACCACTGCTATATCTTATCTTATTGGTCACGACACATGGCGACGTCAACCGCTGACGCCATCGGCAGGATCCGGATCGATCCTCTCACCGGGGTAGAGGATTGGCCCTCTTGGAGAGTCCAGATGGAGGATCTGCTGTACGGGTTAGGGTTATGGGACTACGTCATCGAAGAAGGCAAGCCGACGGCAAAGGACGCCAAGGCACCGACCACAGAAGAAAAGAAGGCTCTAGAAGACTGGACGAAGAAGGACAGGACCGCGTTGATCGCGATCCGGATGCGAGTAAGCAAATCTCTTGTTCACACGCTGACAAGATGTGTTTCTAGCGCGGACACGTGGAACCGCCTCGTCAAGAACTACGAGCCTAAGGGA